AGTCAGCGCCTCCCTTCAAAAATGACAAAAACCATAATAAAAAAAATAAGCTTATTTGTGGCAACATTTTAGCCATAACTTCTCTTTCTCTCTCTCTCTCACACACACACTCATTTTTTTATCTTTCTTTCTTTTGTTTTTTTAATAAAATGGACGATGATGACTGGGACCTCCACGCGGTGGTGAGGGGCTACGCCTCGGCCGCGGCCACCACCCCCACCACCTCCGCTGCCGTCGACGCCGGCGGCGGCGGCCCCGATTTTCCGAGCTTTTCCCTGCCGGCGCCCGACCAAGTCTCGTTCGACTTTCTCGCGGGTGAAGTGGTGGCCAACGACGCTTTCCAGGGCTTGCAAGAAGCCTACCGAGAACTATGCGGCGGCACTCCTCCACCGCCGGCGTCTTCCGCCGGCGCCGCCAGTGGGTTGTCGGCTCCGGCCGCCTATAATGTTTTTCAGCCGAGTCAAGAGGTTATGCAGATAAGATTGCCGCCACTCGTGATGAATAATGTGCAGATTCATGAAAGTATACAGTTCGGTAAGCCGGGATTTATTGGCGGCTCATCAGATAATAATTTTCTGGCTACGAACATTAATCCTCAGCCCATACGGCAACGGAGAAGGTATTTTTCTTCTTGTTCTTGCATTTTGTATTGGTGAAAAAAAAAAAAATAGGAAAGAAAATTTACATTCTGAGTACACGTTCTTTTTGCTTTTGCAGCACAATTTTATTTTTTATAAACGTGAGCTTGCAGATCATGAGTTTTTGATAAAATGCAACTGAAAAATTCTTGTTTTTTGCTTTTGCAACGCGTTTTTTTTTTTGTTTTTAATAAAACGCAACAATAATTTACGAAAAATCATAAGTTGCAATTTCTGAGTACTTTTTGATCATATATGTGCATTCGAGGTTGCAAACCATGAATTTTCTATAATTATATTGGTAAATAGCCTTATCAATTTGTAAATAAAATATATCCACTTTTTGTGGAAGTAAGAAATATTGTCATTTTGTATTGTGAAATGACACGATTACTATTACTATTAGAAATCGTTTATGAGAAATTTGAGACTTCATAATGGTTTATAAACAGAATGACTACGTTTCATCGAAATAAAAATCGTGACTATATTTCATTTTAGAAAGTGAAATAGGACTAAAAAAAGGTGGAATTGTTTTGGAATATAGTTTTACACAAACTATTTTGACATCAAATGATTTGATAATTCAGGTTGTAATATAATATGGTGTTAATTTGGATATGATTATTTTGAAAGGAAAAACCAGCAAATGAAAGTAGTTCGGCAAATGACGCAAGAGGAACTCTCGGCTGACTCATGGGCATGGAGAAAATACGGTCAGAAGCCGATCAAAGGTTCTCCATTTCCAAGGTTGACCTTTTACTTATTCACTGCATTAATTAATAGATTCAACTATATCTATGTTTTTTTTTTGTTTATATTTTTTTATTGGCATTTTTGGGTCAAATTCAGACACAATAATTTCTCATGTATACTTTATCTTTGACTATTTAATTTGGGAGTCGTGTCTTATTATAATTGGTTTCTTCTAAAATTGAATTCTATTTATTTTTTTTAGAATTTGTTATTTAGTTTATTGTATATTTTTATTGGAGCCAGTATTGCTACACACGACTATAATAATGGGGTTCAAAACATCGTGGAAAAATATATTATTCAAATATTGGACCAAAAAAATATAAAATTACCAAATTTCATACTAATCCAATCACACATAACATTTATTATTTTTTTTTCCTCTCTTTTTAATCTCTTCAAAATGATATTATCATGCAAAGCCTAATCTTTTTTCCACCCTTTTTTTTATCTAATTATAAGAAGAATGAAATCCACAAAATTATAACAAGTTTTCTTCTTCTTTTTTTTTTTCCTTTTTTCTTTATCCCCATTTTACCCTTTTGAAAACCAGAAACTACTACCGGTGCAGTACATCAAAAGGGTGCGCCGCCCGAAAACAGGTGGAGCGCAGCCCAAACGACCCCGGAATCTTCCTCGTCTCTTACACCGGCGAACACACCCACCCACGGCCGTCTCACCGGAGCTCCCTCGCCGGAAGCACCCGCAGCAAGCTGTCGTCTCCGCCTTCCGCCGCCGGAAAAGGCGACTACCGGCTCCTGCGCGGCGGCGGCCACCATCACAAGGGCCTAATTAATATCTCCTCCTCTTCCTCGTCTCCGGCGGGCTTCTCGCCGACCGATCCGGAGAATGATGACGTGGCCGGCAAGAAGGAGGCTGCCGCCGGCGGGGATGATGTGGATATTTTTATGACGAGCCCGTTGGGAGCGAACAACGACGATGTGTTCAGAGGGTTTCGTGATTCGGACGACCACTCAAGCGGCGGCGGTGTTGGCAGTGGGGATCCATTTTCAGGCGGTTTGTTGTCTTCTCCGCCGTGGACGCCAACGAGCTCGGCTAGTTTTCACGGCGGCGGCTTGTGAGCGGTGGCTTCCTTTCGAAGAGTACATAGCATGTGTCAAATTAATTAATATACCCATATATTAATAATATAAATTTTGAATTTATACATAGAATATAATTAGTATGCTGTCTAGTTTAAAGTTTAAACCAAACAATTGTGCAAAATATTTCGTGGGGTCATTTATTCACAACTCACGATAAAAAAATATAATTATTTCGAATATGTTTTAGTTCAAAATTGAATGTAGTTGACCTTTGAAAGCTGTTGACGGTTGACTGTTGAGTGCCATAATCAAATGTAGACTGGCAAATAATTATTTTTTTACGCATCAAGCTCAATTTCTATTATTCAATCATCTCCAATGCCTAGTGATACTATTATATGTCAATAAGAGATGAGATGACGTAATAATAATTCATATCTAATATAATATAATTGGAAAAACCATATAATATATTTTTATGTAAATATTGTGGAATTGTAGATGATATATAAACAAACTCGATGAATAAAATTGAGGTAATAGTATTGACTTGAGCAATTTGGATCCTCGTGTACAATATAAATTTGATATGAATACGAATATTACTAATAAAATTGATATGAACAAAGAACATAAAATCATTATGCGATTTAGAATGATACTAATGTATATTCTACCTTTTTATATTATGACAAGATGGTTGTTAGACGAACTTAATCATAATACATTTTTTTTAAGAAAAATGTTGTAGGTACATAATATTGTACGTAGAGATATACATAACACTCACATGGAGTGGAATCCCCACTCCATCCGAGTATTATGTACACTTCTATATACATTTACTATGTACTTGTAGCATTTCTTTTTTTTAAATGTATATACTTTCAAACACAAGTTACATGAATATATTACAACACCATGCCTTCCGAACACTCGGATATCATAAACACTAATGTTCAACCAATTCTTCACACACACACATATATATCGATCTATCACTACGGATCAACAATTTTTCTTTGCATTATTCAATTTCAGTTTCATGCCTACATCTTTATTTGCGAGCCATAACCTATTTAATCCCCCTATTTTATTTATGTAATATTTTTTGAAACATTTCATAGTATTATTCCATCTTATAATTAAAATGTATGAAAAGTAAGAAATGTTCATATATACATATATATATATATATATATATACTTCTATCTTTTCCAAAGTTTATTTTAAATATAAATCTTTATAGTTAAATAATGATGAATGTTAAATTTTTTTTAAAAGAATATAAATATAAACATAGTCATTAATAAAAAATTAAAAAATAATTATAAATCTTCACCGCTCCAAACCCAATTGAATTGTTACTCTAGTCCTAAATACCAAATAAGAATCTCTAAACCGAACAATATTGATTTTTAGTACAGTTCTAAAGATCAAATTTTGATGATATCTAAATTTTGGTACGATTCTGAAGATTTCTCAAAGTCAAAACCGCACCGATCCATAAACACCCTTAGCAAGCAGTACTTTACTTCTAATCACTTTTTTCTCATTACCCAAGCTGGTACCCTCCCAAAAAATAACAGTTTTGTAAAGCATAAAATGTCCATTTGAGTTAAATAATGTATCGAACTTCCTAGGTTACAAGCTTCATTTTTCCCAAACAAAGTCAGGATTTTAAAGATGGATCATAGATACTAATCGAATGACTGACTTGAGTTTGTACTTCACAGTGCACGAATATTTCCAGTAATACCACTAAAAAACAAATGGGGGAATTTGCAGTTCACTATCTTTCTTGACACACATAAATGAAAAGGGGCTAACTAAAGCAAGTCAAATAATCCAAAATAACCTTAACACACAGTCACAATTGAAGCCACCAGCTTGTGTCCCTTGAGAGCTATGCCAATAAATGAGTTTGCCTACGGGCATTTACGCTGAATGTAAGATGCCCCATGCTCTTCATACCTGTACTCGTCGAAAAGATTGATATCAGGAAGACCAAACCCTAGCAGCAAAAACACCAAAAAAGAAAAAAGAAAAAGAAAAAAAAGGTACTTACTCAGACTTTGAGAACCACATTTGCTGAAAGGAGCCGAGCGATGCCAATATACTCCCACCGATCCAAACACTATGTTATAATAACCGAAAAACAGGGGTTAACTAGCTATAGAAGATTTCGTGGCACTAAACACTCTTCAGAGACATGAGATGAGTTAAATATTGATCATTAATTCATTATCAAGCCTTCACTCAGAAGGCCTAACAGACTAGCATATTCCCAATTCTGTCACCTTAAGTATTAAACAGATTGTAGAAGAAGTAGTTAAGCTGCACGTATATTTTAAAAACTGAGAAAGGAGGCAAGAAAGGAAAATAAAAACCTGAATCTTCTTTCTGTAGCATTTCCACTCGCCAACACTTTGACCCTTGCTGCTTGAGGAGATTCCTAGAAGCGCAATATAAAAAAATGTCAGGTTCCAAACTCATAATTTCCAGCTAACGAAATAACAGAAATAAATTCATTCAAGCAGAAAATTCTCATAAATGCCAACTAGAATGCATGGATGCAAACAGTAGAAATAAGTTCATTTATACTACTACTCTATAGTCACGACATTTTATCTTCACACAGAAGGATAATTTAAACTCCAACTAGAATGCACGGATGCAAACAGTAGAAATAAGTTCATTTATACTACTTTCCAGTCATGACATTTTATCTTCAAGCAGCAGGCGGGGAGTACAAACAACTTATTATTTACCAAGAAAAGTCGAAGGTCAATAGACGATATTCTTTTTCGTATGAGCAGGGGTGATTTTGTGAATGAAACTGTTAGTACAGGCATTTACGAGGAAATAGCTAAAAATTTATGCAAAAATGAAACCAACATGTTTAAAACATATTTTTTCCCCTTTAGGACCAAACACAGTGAGGAAGGAAAGACAAATGGACATAAAAAGTGACTCATTCAAACAAAGCCATATATGGTGAACAGAACCTCCAGTAAATCTTTCTCAAGACGTTCTTTCAATTGTTGCATTGATGCTGTCCCACCTGAAAGCTGCACAACACAAAACCATAAAATATCAGAAACTGAGAAAATTAAGTTTTATAGAAGTTAGTGCATCCCAGATTTCAGGAAAAGGGGAACAGCAAAAGACCTATGAAGCTTAATTAATAAATCGTTTAATAAACCTGCTGAAAAGTAGAACAGGGTACCCATGGTAATTCAATTATGTTAGAATACATCGAGTGTGAGTCATCCCACATAAAATAGAGGTAACTTAATTCATAAGCCTACTGAGATGCTCCTATGACCAATTGGTTTTAGGAGCATAGAAGGGAACATTAGAACATATAAGAAGCCATAAAAACAACTTCCTTTTCATTGACTTCCTCTATTCATAGTTTTTAAAAACTGCTCAAGCATACTGTTGTGCAATGAATATTCATAAATTATAACACTCCCTCTTGGATATTTACCATTGTGTTAAAAGTGTAGCTATATTTAGTTTGCTCCGCCTGACAAATTAGGATAATTATCCTAATTTGTACTGAATCTTCTCAATCTAATATTGTATACCCCTCAGGTTTAACTCGGTATCATAAGCAGATCATAAGCAGGTTTAACTCGGTATCATAAGCAGGTCATGCTATGCACATATTAGGAGAATGACCAAATACGCACAAACATATTATACACAGGAGAAATTATCCTACCAGTATACTGCTATAGAGTTCTCTTCGGATGTCAACATCACACTTGTTTATGCTCTCAACGACCTAGAAAATTTAAGACAGTTAATTCATGATAGAATCAATGGGAAAACCAAGAAATAGCTTCGACCGAAACCAAAAGCATATTTAGAGAGAATCTGTTAACCATTTGTGGCAGACCACGAGCAGATGAAGCAATCTCTGCAAAACTTTCCATACCAGGTATAGTCTGACATGAAAAACAAAGTAGACACAAACATAGAAAATTAAGTTTTAAAGTAGACACAAACATAGAAAATTAAGTTTTTTGTGAAGTAATTGTTAAGCAGCAATAAGTTTAGCAAAGAGCATACTGTAAAAGAGAAAAAGAATACCACGTAAGCTAGCAAAGATAACCTCCATAGTACATATTCATCATGAACATGGGGCGAACAAATTAGCACGAAGAAGAAAGCATGTGAAGTGCATCAAAGGTACAGTGTCCCTCAAATTAGGATGGATAAAAACATCCAAAATTATGGCCTTTTTTTCTCCGACCTTTTTTATGATCCTCACAAGCCACCTCATTGCAACATGAAAGTAAAAACCTCGAAGATGTCTACACTATGAGAAACTTCATAAAGTTCTTCACTGGTCCCACAACTAAACCACATATGAACAAGTTAGGCACATTATATGTACACAGCAATAGCTGATGGGTCCCAAGGAACATGAACAAAGCTCTTTTAAACAAAGACGCATTTCCCAAGAAGCTTTTTTGTGTTTTACCACAATGGAAAAAGCTCACAAGTATGAGCTCCATTGCTGATGCTGGATGCTCTAATAATATAAAATCGTAATTTCATTATTCAAAAGCATTTCATGGTTTATTTGTTAGAAAGCTGACGATAAGCCATTCTCCAGAAAATGGGTTTCAAATCCAATATATTTCATGAACGTCAGGGGATTAAAACTGGAATCATAATAAATTTTTGGGCCATTATGCACAGTAGCATGGTAACCACCAAACAATGACAATATATTGAGAAACAACTCATAAGACAAGAAAATGAGAAGCGTTGCAAATGAAACCTCCAGCAGCCAACATATATGAAGAGTATTTACAGATATTACATTATTAGTGTTATAAAAATACATCAAAATATGAGTCAAAGTGCTATAGTTACTCGGATTAACAAGAAGAAACCGACCTGTACTAGAGACGGATTAAATAATACATCAGGAATCTTGAATCTGTCAGCACCAATTTCAATTGTCCTACATCATTTTTTTACATTTTTTTTTTTTTAAAAAAAAAGCAAATTAGAAAGCATCCGTGTTTGGCATGAGTTGCAGCAATACTCAAGATTCATAAAATTTCATTCACGTTGGAGAACAGTAGTTTATAATTGTGACTTCAACTTTATTATGCAGATAATAGTCTTAATCTAGGAATTATATTCCATCTCACAAGACTTCTTTATCTCCATATTTTTCAATATAACTAATAAATACTAAGTATGATTAATGCAAAAGAAATAACAATGATATTCCCTCACCCTCAAAGTTAACAGTCAGCCACAGCCAAAAGAAAAAAGAATAAAAAAAAGGTACATCTTCCCAACCCATAGGATCGTGGTTGGGATATACATGAACCATACTGGCTGAATGAAATATTATATGAATGGATACACGATGCTCTGAATCTACTCAAATGCTTAATCTCTCAAATAGCGATGAAAAGGAACAAAAAAATAACTTCACAAAAACACTTACTGTCCATCAGGAAGCTCATAAGAGGTCATTGGGATGTTTGAATAAGACACATCTGCTCCCAGAAAAGGAAATATCAGGACAGAGAAAACCAAAGCATCAGTTAAGCTACACAATCAAACGATAGTTCCTTATAAATAACTCCACGCAACAAAATTGGGTAGTAAATTTAACTAAATGAATATCAGTAGGCATTATTGTATTCTTGATTGTTTTCTTCCACCACATATAGGTTTTGTGCTGCTCATTAAGAAACATTCTTCTCCTACATATTACTTTCTTCCTTTCCTCTCTGACAGTATACAATCAACCAAATACCAAATTAACTAGGTTAAAAAAAAAACATAAATAAATCTAGCTAAAACAACAGGCAGTAAGTTCCTTAACAAGATTTTCACTTAGTGCAAGTTACTACTACGAACGCCAACAACCGTGCATAACGATATCATTGATCCTCTAGAGTTGCAAACTGTAGAAAACTTAAACAGAAGAAACAATAGTATAATGGGATACATAGAGTTTGAGTTTGTTCAGGAAGACTAAATCAAATGACAATATCTAAAATCCATTAGTTTTTTCATCAATATGGCAACACTGGCGAAGAAAACGCATAAGAAACAAGACAGTTCACAAGAAAATTACATTAAAGAAAAACGTCCAAATTTACATGGAAATAGATATTATGCTCAGTTAACTATGGAGAGTATGGAGAGAAACTGATAAAATAAGTACATTGTTTGCTGTACCATATTGTTGTGATAAAATACTTAAAACATTCGGGTCAAAATCTTACATTAGAACTCAATAAATCAGAATTATTAATTTATATAAGAAAGGCACAAACCATCATATGGGGTGTCTGGTGCTCGACAAACACATTCTTTAATATCACCAACAATCACCCGCTGTGATGAAAAAGAAGAGAAGAGAAAATTAGTAACAAAAATTAAGTCAACCAAATATTACTTAATGATCAATTAGTGACCTGCGAATAGAGTTTGTAACTCTCTGTCGTGTTAGGAAAGTCCAGGTCCATAATCTGTCGAAAACTAGTTACTATAAGAATTTAAGACAAAACAGAAACATGAACCAAGATGAAGAAGTAGACATGACATGCTTATAAAAAGAATAATGTCAATAAGCTGAAGATGAAGCTGCACTTGAGTTTAAATTGAGATGGATGAAGGTGTTCATTTCTATTTGATATCCAATGGATGATAGTAATGTTTAACATTTGAAGTGCCAATGTACTCTAAACCAAAGGATTTCGTAAACATAGTGATCTTTAAACAATGATTTTGCTTGAGCATTCCACATTCAGTAGCAAGTTGTAAACAATAAAATCAACGATATGTTATTGCTAGTAATCATAGAACAACCACCCGGTGATCTGTCGCATTCTTAATAGTAATAATAAATAAATACTTGATTATTTCATGTCCAGTAAGACAGACCTGGAACTCCCCAGGACGAACTTCCTTCCGTTTAAACGCATAGCGAGGTTTTATCTGTATTTCAGATATAGGATAAAATACCAATGAAACCAACATACTTAAAAATTCATGTTAAATAATAAGACTAGTTGTTGCTTTATTGCAAAATCATACCTATATCTATCGATATATAAGGGAAGCTAATTATGAAAAGGATGTGCACAATTCCATGCTAAAATTTCTACTCTAAATATAATTTATTTATTTATTTTAAAATTTTATACCTGATTTGATATCTCTGATTAAATTTATTTCCATTTATTCCATACTCCTAATTGATTGTAAAGTTGAATTATATGTTGGGTTTCTTCTTTAATATTCTATCATATCATCAGTATGAGGAAATAATTTAATATAGTAACGCATGCTAAAATTTGTAGTAATATGGTAAAAATTGGTTTTAAATTTATTATCTAACAAGTATCATATTCACACAAGTTTATGATAATTAAATTCATCTTTATCATATTCACACAAGTTTATGATAATTAAATTCATCTTTATTTAAAATATCATTTATTTATCCTTTTTATTTAATATTTACATTTATATTTAATTGCTCTTTCGTTTAATGTTTGTTTATATTAACACTATATATTGAAATAATAAACATTGTATCACTTTTTTTTTTTTATAAAAGCATACCTATGCATAGCATGGGCAAATATGCTATAGTGATATTAATGTGTTTGTCCATGTGTGTGTGTGTCAGGGAGAAGAGCTAAAACACTTACAGAAATTCCTTTGTTTTCCAGGCTTTTCAACAAGCAATCAGAGAGAAATTCTCCTCCAATAGGAGATGATGCAACAGCCTATATAACAAACGAAAGAGAAACATCAAATACATAGAACACAGCTTAAGGAGTGAGTTGGGTTGTGGGGGGGTTAGATAAACAACTTCTGGGTTGGGATCATAAACTTCTGATTAATTGATGCCACAAGAACAAGTGGAGCACTATTTAAGCTAATTACTTGTGCAGACCATGAAATACCTAACAAATTATCCCCATAAAGCAGGAAACACAAAAGGATAAGCAGAGAGAGTAACATCTTCTGTTAAATCAAACTTCAGACGCAATAAAAATATATCAAGCACGTTGAGAAAAGTAGTTAACGATAAAATAGTATCAATATCGCAAATGCCAGGCAGCAGTAATGAATTGATATAAAATCTTGCATACTCCCCTACAACATAAGTGCATGCAGCTCAAGTGGAACAAAAAGTACACATATAATATAAATGTATAGCCATTTATAATACATTAACAAAAAATGAGTGTACAAACCAATTTCCATTTTAACGACGAACCTTTTGAAGAACATATCCATCGTGTACTGGAACCACTGTAGTTGATCCTCCTCCACTAAATCAAACAGAAGTAATTGGAATAAGCTGGTTATAATACATTTCAAAACAGAGTATTGAATTGAAGAAGAAATTTGGGGAGGAAAACTTCCATTTTCAAATATATTTCTTAGCCCAAGTAGAAACTCCTATTAAGAATCGTATTTCATAACAATGAAGGAGAATGACATCAACTATTCAGCTAAACACAAACTACGATCTAGAATACACCGACACAAATGATCCCAGCACATGGCTGTCTGAAGAGAACCTTCGATCTAATCTCACCTCATATGTAAACTTTGAAAGTAGACATTAAACTTCTGTTGTACAATTGGGTTAAGTGAACAAGATACCGTTTTGTGAAAACTTGTATAAGTGTGGGTAGATTTCGAATTTGGATTACAGTGTTAGATTATTCGCGTTCTTGCCCAGGCTAGGACTTCAACAACCCAGACCAAGTACTCTTGATTATTCTTTTGTGAATGACATTGCTGTAGATGGGAGCACTCTAGTCTAGTTTTGTTTCTCTTGATCCAACTTTGTGGATTTCACACTCCCGTGCAGTAATATTTTCTATTTTATAATAAACTGTGTTTCCTATCACAAAAAGAAGTAAACAATAAAAAATAAAGGTGTGTAAGTTTAGGTAATCTTTATTGCTTATTTTGTTAACTAGAAAGCAGCAGGAAAAATGAAGATGAAAGGGGGGAAAAAATAAAATTAAACTAGCTTCATCACATAATTCGTAGGTGTAGCCAAACATAAGAAGGGTAAAGGGAACGGCCTTTCTGTGTACAAAGTGGAGCAAAAGAGAGCAATTATTCACACACAAAATTTGATGCTACAAGAAGGAAAACCTTAGAGTTGTTCAACAAAATGGCTACTAGCAAAGAAAATGTAGAAGTAATGCCAAATCAACACACTTTAAATATATGGCATTTGTATTAAAATGAATCAGTTTGCACAACGTATTTTATCTGAACAGATTTCTTGACATATAATTATGAACAAAGTTAAGGAAAACATAATAGCATATAAGCACCTACCAGTCAACAACTAACGAGGTCGCACGTCCTGATGCAAAAGATGTAAGGACCTGGTGAAAAAATTAAAATTAAACACACACACACACTGATTAGCAAATTGCAAATGAAAACTATCCTTAAATAAAGAATGAAATAAGTCATTCATTCCAATTTTCAGTCAGGTCAATAGGAAGGCTAAAATAGGGGCTCACAGCATTTTTGGCAAGAAATAATGCAGGAACTTGATACTTTTCAAACATTATCTCCGCAGTCCTGTTAAAATGTACAATACACAGTGATAAGCTTATTACTAACAATAAATTTGATAAGACGGCATATTGCAACAATGAGATAATACTACTGAGGAAATGTTGAATTTACTGAAATAAGCAGCACAACTAGTGAAGCATTTCATTTTCGATCCCATTTTTATTGTGAAGGTGAGTGGAGTAACCAGCCACTAAAAAATAACGACAATACATAAAATAAACTGTCCTTTCTCCATTTTGTCTCGCTACATGTCAATCACTTAGAGGGTGATTGTTTATGGATTGAACTAGTTTTTATTTGGTTTGTTTTTTAACTATAGTTAATTTTGAAAAAAGGTGGTATGGTTAGTGTTAGTGGATCTATTAAAATAATATTTAAATAAAATAATTAAAGTTGATTTGATGTAAAGTAGGAGAAAAATGATTGGAAGTGATAGTTAGTTAGAGTTATGTGAGTGGATGAATAGTGAATTAAAGTTGATGTGATATGTAAAAATGATTGGTTGATATTATTTAATTATATTGATAATATTATGATAGTGTAGTTGAGTTAAAGTTTGAGTTAAATTTGAGTTTTGATTGGTTTTTTTACTATTCAATTCATATACAATCACCACCTTAAAGCCTCAGAAAGGCCTTCCAACCTTCTGAAAACTTCATAATTCTGAGGCCGCAGGGATTGCATTTTATGGCAGCTAGGCCGAGCATTGTTAAGATTAGCATGTAAGTCTCATCAGTTCTGTCAAAGATGCACATGATGAACTTTTTCAATCTCTCTAAAGAAAGAGATGAAGAAAGAAAGAAAGGGATGGAAGAAGAGAAGACAACAGAATAAAAGAAAGAAAAATTTGGACACTACTCGAACAGCAAATTTCCAGATAGAAATCAAACTAATTTGTCTTGGCAAGCATCACATCCAAATAGAGTAGACTGAACTCTCTATGAGACCTCTAATTTCCCTCCCTCAATGTATACACAAATTACAATAAGCGATTTTCTCGGAGATGACCTAGTTCTCTTCATTATAGATATGAAGCAAATAGATTGATACTTCATCAAGGAAACAAATCATGTAGCCTAGTTGTATTTATGCTTTTGTGCACTGCTATTGATTTTGGGGTGTTTCAATAATTGTTTTTTTTTTTTTTCCAAATCTCTCGCTTAGCAATCTTTCAACTGATTATTAGCCAATGCTTAAAGGTACCATTCAACTCAAGTATCATTTTAAGATGCTACTGGTTAATGTTGGTACAAGCGGTACCATGGACCCTCATAGTTCAAACTACATCAAATTTTCCACCATTCGAAGACGACGAAAACCTCCAGCAAAAAATCTAACTATCCAAGGAAGGAATGGTACGACAAGAAAAAAATACTGATGGGAATACGTAAGGAATCGTCACTAACAACAGTTTCCACAGTTATGCTATGGCTGGGTTTACAGATAAACATATAAATTTATCTGATTAGTGGAACTATTGATGAATGTCTGCATCATACAAAAATGAAAATGCAGATGACATTTAAACTAACTCCAGCATAACTAACGAATTTCAGACATTCAACTCACTTTTCTCTCTGCAGTTGAGTATTAGAACATGGCTCAGCAAGGAGCATCGGGTGGTCCTTTGGATCAATCAAAAGACATTTCCTGCCAAATAACATCACATTAATATAGAAACTATATATACAGTACTGAAAATGTGGAATGTGTCATATAAATAATACATTAAAAAATTAAGATAAAAAAACTGTGGGCCACGAATATGGATATTCTCTCCCACTCATTAGGTATTATGAAATAGGAGGGTCTAAAATGAAGATTAAATTACCGTAGAGCATGGTCCCATATATTTTCAACCATATCCCAGTCGGCAACTATTCCATCCTTTATAGGTGATAACACCTGAATAATATTACTTTTACAGGTCAGACTACAGAACTATGGAGCAAAGACAAAATCTCAAACAACACGGAGAAAACTTACTTCCATATTATCCCTGCGAAACCACAAGTCTTGTGATCCTACATACAACTTGCGCTTATTCTTGGATTTAGAATCTGGGGCAGATCCGGAGTTCTTGTCTGAATTATCAGCATCATCAACTTCCATTTCATCGACTGATCCAACAACCTAATTATATAAAAAGGAAAGATAGTGTCAATAGAAGTATAAAAAGGAAAGATAGTGTCAATAAAAAATATCAAACAAACTAAAAAACATATAGATATTTACTTCCAACACTAGATGACGGTACACATAATCAATGAAGTAAAAAATATAAAACTAACAATGACAGAGAAGCCAAATCTGGTATGTATAAGTATCCAGCTTGGTACTACAGAATCCATTTCTAGAAGAACAGTTATAATCCCTACTTGAGTACTTGTAGTGCATACCCCAAGGAGAGAAAAAAAAAATGTCCGTCACAGTAGGTAGGAAGATTGATGACAATGTCATATTACTATATAAGCGTTTAAACAAAATATATTTGGAAACTAATGTGTTCGTAGGCACAATTATAATCTCGAATTGATTTCAAAGTTAGTACTTGTGTAAATAATCGTGGTACTATAATGGGTTAACAGCACTTTCACATAGGTCTTAACCATATCACAGAGTTGCACTTGATTTGCTATATTCTCCACGAAGGAGAGTGAATACATGTTCATAAACATAAAAAAGCGACCATCAAATTTGTCAGGATATCACCATGTTTACGTCTTTTTGGGTCAACACTTCCGTGATTTTCATCAATACAATGATAAAGCTAAAAACTTTATCAAGATACAAAAATAACCAATTATTGTTTTCTTTTTTGGTCACTCTTTTTGTTCTTTATAAATATCTAGTCCGTGTGATTTTTGCATTGTAATCAAAATCTTCATCAACTTCCAATACAGGGAAAATTCCCACAACTATGTTCTGCTTTACTGCTACATTTGAAGCTTTAATTCAACTCCTATATAGTTTTCTTCCTTCTATGCCATTAAACCAGAGGTTTCTCACACAGAAGGGGACCAAGGAGTTCCACATAGTAAAGCTGAAACGACAAAAACACAAGGCACAAGTAAATGCTTGTACATATTGTAGTACTGCTTTCCCTGTTTAGGTCCACTTTTTGGTTCTCTAAATAACCAAGTTATGTGACGTTGACATTGTAATCAACATCTTCAACTTCTAAAACAGAAAAAGTCCCCACAATTTCTTTTTCTTTACTGCTATATTTGTGGCTTTTATTCATCTCCTGTGTAGCTTTCTTCATTCTATGCCATTAGACCCGGGGCCCAAGGAGTCCCGTAAAGAAAACACAAGGCACAACTCCAATCTCAAACAACACAGATACATAAAGTCACCGAACTCCTTTTGAGTTGAGAATCATCCAGCATCTCTAAATTAATACACACCCCTTTACATCTTCAAATAATTTCTATTTGCTCCAGCAACAAGGACCAGAACACCATATTACAAAACATAAATCAACCCTAACTAAAAAAAAAGCATAATTACTCTGAAGCAGATCCATAAATATCCGTAGCATGCAGATTGTTTGCCCAAATCCCAAATGATGAACTCCAATCATAACCTTAAACATTAAACCGAAAGTTCAAAGAAGGTATACGCGAACCAAATCTTCTGAATGATTCCTACCTAGAACGCATGTTGGAGACTTGGAGACCAAAAAAGCAGCATCTTGAAGGAATCACAAACAAGCAATTTAACCTTTACCAAGAGCATGATGAGAACCAAACTATTCCATGACAGGAGCTTCCCTATCCCCACAAGCTCCAAAGAAGGGAAAGGATGGAGAGATGTGCAATTGATAATATGTCAAAGAAAGTTAAAACTTTCAGTAACTCATGCTAAGAATCACATAGTTTAGCGGGTTTTTGCTCAACCTTTGGTAAAGTTGTTGATCAATGTCCAAACCTTGGGTTTCTCAATTTTCTTTTTAAGTTTTATTTTGATCCTTTCAACGACTCTTTAGTTCGTCCAACAAATAACTTACAGTGAGGGAGTAAGGGGGTGTTTGTTTATAGCCTTTTCAATTCATACTCAAAATCTAACACAACTTTAACCCAACCCACTATACTCAATATATTATCAATATAATTATAATACCAAACAATCATTCTTACACATCATCTCTTTCCTACTTTTACATAAAATCAAATTTAATTATTTTATTTTAAATATTATTTTAATGTAAACTAAAAATCTCAGTAACTAATCATACTAACTTTTTCAAAATTAATACTGCTTAACCAAAATAAAAATTCGATTTGAGCGAATATATTTGTATCCAAGCACGCACTAGCTTACCTGTTTTTTGGTTAAATTATTTGAGAAAACCAGCTCTAAATTCAAGAAAGGAGGAAAATTTGAAGCTGCATTTCTATTACTCTTATTCTCCCCAAGGTTCACAAGATCACATGAAGATAGGTAGTCTTGGCGAAAATCAAGTATCAGCTAGGTTCAAGGTAAATAATATTAGTAAATTCATTAACTCTATAATATCTGAGTTATAAAAGAGATTCACCAATTCTGGTCACATTTTAAGCACAAAACAGTGGGTCTACTTCAAATAGTTCTGGCACATATATCCCCAAATAAGTGTCATTGATCAACCGTATCTCTTCCCTAATCGGAATCTCCTTTCTCTCTCCTCAGATATTTCAAAACTTCTCTTTCACTATAAGGCTTATTTAGTCTTAACTCTTACGCGTAAACCTTTCAAATAGAATAGTGAAACATCTCGACAGCAAAAATCTACACGTAAAACAATGTAGAATCCCTAATCTAAAAGAAACCCTACTATTCAGCAACAAATGCAGCTCCAGAATCGATTCAGTGAACAACATAATGTCACGACGAAATAGACAAAAAGCTTTCATAAAGAGACACATAAGAGAGAGAGAGAGAGGATGAGTGTATGTATGACAGAGAGAGAGAGTGGGGTTGGTTGACTCACGGATGGAAAGACAGCTTTAGGTGCATCTTCACCGGCATATCCAGCTTTGCATGTATGTGAGCCCAAGTCCACTACTACAGCTGATACTTCATCTGAAGCAAACAACATAAAACAATAAAATGTGCACATGAAATAGGCAGAAAAAATACCCAACGTGCATAACGAACTGAGGAAATTATTGGTCCTACTCACCTCCACCATACATGATTGTGGTGTGTCTCTTCCTTTTCTAAATTATCAATTTCGCTACAGTAGTGCCACCAAAAGCAACTACAAAATAACATGGAAAACATTACAGTGAGTATTTTCATTCCAGCTGAACTCATTAGAGCAGAAGTCAAGATTACATACCTTAATACAGCAAACAATCAAAATTAAGAATTCAAAACTTTCAATCACTACAAAGGCTAGAGCAAAATATTCCCAATGCTATAATAGTGACAGAGCAAGCTCAGTTCTCAGTCGGAAGTTCAGTATCAGTTGTGTACATTATCAAACCTGAATTCTTTACGGAACCGTGAAATCAGCTAAACAAGCTCGGTTAGGGGTCTAGTAAAAGGAAAAGTTAAAGGAAATAGTAACATATATACACATGTATATACGTGCATTAATTTGGCGAGGGCAGTTGGTGGGCACAACAGTTTTACATGCAGATAGGATGAGATGTTAAATGTACCAATTAAATAATTCAACAAACATATAGTATCCTCCTATCCTCCTACGTTTCAATTAAATTAATATAATATTTATTTGAAATGATATAGCGAGAGATATCGGATACTTGGTCAAAAAAATATAATTGTCTAAATTTAACACATAAGTTATGTGTGTTATAAAGTATGCTATTAGCTCTCTCGCCTAATATACATTGTTTTGGCGTTTCACGAATTACCAATCATGCTCCAAAGAAATAGCACTATAGTTTTTACTTTTGTCAACTCTTTTCCAAATTATAAGGTTTGTACTTTTTAATATCTTATAGCTACACATTGTACTAAAACTATCTAAAAATGACTTTTATACATAGCATTTTGCATGAATAATAATTATTCATAGTTTGTAATATTTGTAAAGATATAATTATATAGAATACAATATACACGTATAAACTTCTCTATCTAGTTTATTATTATTTATTACATATATATATATGCTACTTCTAGTAATTAGAGCTAATATTTTTATATAAAAAATAAAATAAAACTGGAAATTGATAATATCTATCTATATATATATAATTACTAGCTAATCCCATTTAATAAAACATTTAATAAAAATATTTTAACTTTCCCTCCAAAAGGAGTTACATTTTTTTTTAATTAATTACTCACTAATCCCAAATTTAAGAAGGTTTCTTTTAGTTAAACCTAATTAGTTAATGGCTAAATTAAAAAAATTTCTTTTAGTTAATCCCACATTTATGTTTCTTATTCCCATTTATATATATAAACGTGACAGTCATTATTGTTGTGCAGAAACTATATATTATTATTTTTTATTCCATTATGAATTGAATAAGCAATTAAAGTTATAAAAAATATTAATAAATGTATTAAATACAGATCATGTTACATTACAATATAAAAAATGAAATTATTTTTTTTGTAATTTAATTTCCAGCCATACTCCATCAAACAAATAGCTGCAAAATGATAAGAAAGATTAGTTTCATAATTAAAATTAAAAATTTAGCTCCCCAAATGGTAAAACTTTATAAATTAGTAGTATAGATACATTTAAATGACATATAATTTATAAACTTAGACTAAACGCATAATAAGATGAATAAAAAAAATTAATGAATTAAATAAATACATTATTATTATAGCACAGTCTATATAATTATTATAGCAAAAATAGTGCAAAATTAACTATCTTTGACTTTCCATTTGGTAGTAATAATAAAATATTTTATATTACTACTATTCAATAAAATGCATGATTTCAGCAGATTTGATTATCGCAATCAACAATTTGTTTTATAAATTAAAAAGTGTGTTGAATAAATTGTCTCATATTTTTCATTAAAAAAAATGTGGGCCGTGAAAAAAAATATTATTTCACAATTATAAATATAAATATGATTAATATTCATTAAACAATTCCTCTTTAAGAAAAAAGTGGCGGGACAAATTTTTGTATGATTATAGCATCAAAACATATCAAAAACATCAATATTTTAATGCATTAAAAACCATACTTTTCAGCAACAGAAAAGTCATATTAAACGGAAATTGGTAAAGTCAAAGAATTAGGATTGACAAGGCATTGTATGTAATGGCAGATTGTTGCATAATATAGAAATATCAAACATAATTAATTAATAAAAAAAAAAGCCAAATCTATATGAAAAAATCAAAATTAAAAACACAACAAATTATGTGGAACATTATTGGACACTATACAATATAGAAAGAAAAATAATTTGATTTCTCTATCATTATCAACACATTCAACTTTTACCAAGACATCTGCATTTATATTAAAATCGATTTTTTGCGTAAAAGTTTTAAAAATAAAAATTCCTACATATTCTTTTAAACATTAAACAAGAAATTCCTAATATGCGATAAATATATCTAAACAGATTTGTTATAAACTTACCTAATATTTCCAAATTTTGAACAAACTACTAAAAACTTTGAAAAACTTCGGCATTTTGAACAACTTCGAAAAGCGATTTTGAACAAGTATTAGCAAAGCTTCACTTACTGATATGATGAGAAAGACGAGAAAGAATTGAACTATTTAGTGTTCAAAATTTGAACAAACTACATAAAAGTTACATATGTATGTTATGAACAGATATGTTATAAACTTATCTATATAATTGTTAGTGGAGCTGAACAGATTTGTTAGAAACTTACCTATTTTTTCAAACACTGAAGAAAATACATAAAAGTTTGAAAAAGTTCGACCAATGTCATGTTCTCTTCGAAAAACGATTTCGAAAAACATCTAAATAATTTTGAATTATGTATAACATATGATATATCTTTGAAGCTTATTCACAAAGAATTTCGAGGTGGTCAGCAGCCCGCCAAAACCCGCTGTTTGGCGAGGCAGGTCCCGACGGGCCTGTGAAAGGGCAGCCCGGCCCAACCCCGCCGCGGGCCGGCCCGNAAATGTTAAAAAAAAAAAAAAAAAACTGGGCACAATACAAAGCCACAAACTGGGGTCTGGGAGCAACAAAAAAAAAGGCACAAATCCACAAACTGGGCACAAAAAATGGAAGCAAAAGAAATTTTCTACCATACACATTAAACCAAGATTAATCAATAAGCTTTTCAGATTCAGCCATCATTACCGGTCTCGCAGCTCTTTGTGCCGCTGCCTTGCTGCTCGCCGCTCGAATGTTTCGCTTCCTCGCAATGCCGCACACCGGTCTCGAAGTTCTCGCTTCCTCGCCGCCGTCGCCGGATAAAAGATGCGCCGTTCACCGTCGTCCGTCGCAAAAGCTTGAGAGATTAGGGTTTAGAGCAGCTCCCTTCACCAGCCGCCCGTCTGTTGTGGCCCTTTTGGGTTTTCTCAAAAAAGAAAAGAAAAGCGTGTTGAGACTTGAGAGATTGTAGAAAGTCGTGTATTGGATTTGGGCTGGGTTTTACAATAATAATTTACTAGTATGTACCCTATGCACGGGACAGAGATATTAATGAGTTATTTTCACATGCTACGTTAAATGAGTTATTTTCACAGGCTACGTTTGTTTAAGTTGAAAAACAATAAGGTTATTATTTATTATTCATCTCTTTTAATCACCGTTAAACATAGTTTTTAAACTCAGCCCAATAATCGACCCGGGCAGGTCCTCGGGTCACCGATTCAACCGTCGGGTCACCGAGTCAATTGTTGAACTAGATAATTAATTTTAAAATTTTCAAATTATATATAGAGTGTTTTTGTCATATAAATATACATAAAAGGAACAAAATTAATATTTTGTGTATAAAATTTATACATTAAAGTGTTAATAATATATATCTCATAATAAATATTTACCATATAAACATATATACATAGTTTTATTTTTAAAAAATAAAAAAATAAAAAAAAAATCATATATGGACCGAAAAATCACCAAAAAAAATAAAATAAAAATAAAAGTCTTACCCCCTGTGGGGTAAGTATATGTTGTTTTGAACAACTTGTAACTTTCACATGAACTGGTTAATGAGCAAAGAGGTGGTCAATGTGTACTAGATAAAATTGCTCTATAGAAATGCTTGTGATGAATACTTAGATTTTTCTTAATATTGCAAATAATAAACATTCAAGACTTTCGTTTCCCACAAAATAATATAATCTTATTGCAACTATAGACACATTTCAAATGACAAATAACATGAACATTCAGATCTTACTAGTTTCAACAAGAATTCGATCAAATCAATAATCGAAAATCGATAGAGCGCATATTTACTTTAAAAAAAGATACAACAGAAACCCATAAATTGATTATATATATAGTATTACAGATTCAAACAAGTAGTAGCTCCCGTATGCACCAAATAGATCAATACTCACGGCAAAAGCTCCAGATTTGGCTATTTCCAACAAAGTACACATAAACAACAAACTCTGCCATAAATAGCAAGAATCAGACAAAAGAACATAGACAAATTAGCTCTAAAACTATGGAAATGCTAGCACATACGAGCTCAAGCATGTACTTAAATTCTTAATTACTCCAAATCTCCATATCTAAATCATTTTTCAAGCACAAACTTCATCTAATGCCATTGGTGTGTGTGTGTGTGATGTCTAATATTGAATAACAATCCTAGCTCCATCCAAACAACATATCATCTGTCCATTCAACATAAGAGTACTAATTTAGAATCCAATCAATATCTTCAATCGATTATTTATTACTGTCAACATTAAACATCAATGGTCCTGGCAGGTGGATGAATGTGCTATCAGTTGTGATTAATAGTTCATAGACATCCAACGGAAAATTATATTTTAACCGAACGTTTGATCAATTTATCAGCTAACAATGCTTTTACTTAAATTAGGTCATGTACACATTGTTGGACACTGAAACACTTGTGGATAAGGCATTTTTCATTTTGAATGACTCTTATCCGGAGGACAAAAGTGACCTTCACAAGGGGCTCATTTACTTTGAATGATGGGATAAGACAATATTATCAAGACTACTTTACAACTCAGCAATCAGTCCCTTGTTTACTTTGAAGGATGGAATTTATATAAATTGATCCCATCTTTACTTCGATGGATTAAAAGACAAGATAAACAACAATAGACTAACTTACCCTTATGCACATACACACATGATTAAATCGATGCACATTGGACCAGCTCCTTATGCAAATAAAACGCAGAAATGCTTCAAAAAATTGGAAATTGTAGAAACTACACTTTTATGTATATAATAAAAAACGCAGAAGTTACAAATATTACACAAAAGTGTAAGGATTCTTAACACCTATTCTCATTTCAGTGTAAAAACAGAAATGAATGAACCACAAATAATTGACCATCCCGATTTCTTGAACCACATTAAAAGGGCTCGGTGAATTTTTTACTAAAGCAGGCACGAGACGGATAAGCAAACACACAAAAAAAAAAAATAAAGAATCCAGTGAATGGGACACGAGACACATAAACAAACACACAAAAACGATCGATGTTATAGTCAATACCGAAGCCGACTTGAGCCAACCGAACGAAAGAATAGGGTCTTCACCTTTACTAAATATGGGGTAGGAGTTACTGGTTACACAGGTTTTATACAAGGTGTAGCAAACCGGAGATCCTGCTTCTTGGTCGCGTAGGCGGGAGAAGAGTAGAATCAAGTATAGATCGTTGTTGACCGTGTACTCTACCCTCCGGGCACAAGCGGTAATAGCAGCTGCCAATTGAACAATTCTGATTAGAGGGACCAACACATTCATGAATTGAAGCCTGAATTAGCGAAAACAAACAAAAAAAAAAAGGAGCGCAAATCTTACCTTGGCGGCGGAATGACGAAGAACTCCACTTCTCCCTCTGCAAGTTCGATTTAGTTAGGTTAGGGCACGATTTGGTGAGGATAACATTAATTGGTGGGTTTATGTAATTAAGTGGATGTGCAGGGGTGTATATGTCTTTTTACATGCAGTTTTGAGGACAAAATGGGATGAACAGTGGCGGATAAAAAATTCCGGGGCTCTGGGCGGGACTAAAATTATCGCCGAATAAATGATATAGCTGTGGGGCCCGTCGCCACATCTGCGTCCACCTCATTTGAATTTTAAATTTTCAATGTTAGCTGAATTTAATCTTAACTAAAATTTAGAATTACTTCTCAAGTTGATTTAAAATAAAATTTTTAGTATAATAAAGTATTGATAAATGTTAGATTTTAAAAAAAAAAAAACATATAAAAAATAAAATATAACTAGGTGGTCATTCACAAAAATTTTTAAAATGATAAGAAATCTCTGAATATCCAAACCGAACCAAACCAAACTGAAACGTTCCGATAGTCCCGAAAACCGAACCAAAATATAAAAATCTCCAAACCGAACCAAACAACTTTTTTGGTACGGTTATGAAGATCAAATTTTAGCGATCTCCGAAATTCGGTAAGGTTATGGAGATTTATCAATTTCCGAACCGTATCGAACCATGCTCACCCCAAGGTATACCGTATATGGTATATACCAAAATTATTGGGATTATTTCAAACCATGTGTCATTTCAAAAATTTTATTCAGAAATTCGATTTGACAATAACGTGATTTCATTAAATAATTATTTTGATTAAATTTTATTTTATATTTAAAAACCAATGTGAATAATAAATATAAATATAACTTATATTGTTTCATTAATTAAAATGAATTTATTTTTGTATAAAATGTCCAAATTAAAAATTTAAGCAGTTGAGTAAAAACTATCAGTCATAAGATTTTTTATGCCAAAAAAATCAACACTCTTTATCATGCTAAAAAAATGAACAATGCATTTCACACAAAAACTATTTGAAATGTCGTAACAAAAAGTGAATTAAATCGAGACACACTAATTATATTGGCCTGCGCTCTACAGAAAAACGTACATCGTGTATTGATTAATTTTTCAACAAATTTTCTAACAAAAAACATTCATCAAATAACCTAAATAAATTTTTTCACTTTATACCATATATTGATTAAACCAAAACATTATGAACTTAGTCGTTTAGATACAACATATGCAGCAACTTATTATTGTTATGCATGCGTTAATTTGGCTCGAGCTTTGTCCTTTATGCACTTTGTTATGGTGGTGCGCAATCAATGCTAAGCGCTTATTTCTGTTCTTCATTTTAACTTGTATTAATTTTATATGTTGTCACTCCAAATTTTTTCATTGTTCTTCATTTTAACTTGGAGGTTTTATTTCTGTTCAGAGATTGGACAACCCTTTTTCGTGAAATAATTTCATTATCATTATCCCTTTATGCTTATTATCGTTGTACATTGGGAATGAATCGCTACAACCACTCACATATCTCTTCAGGTAAAGATATCAACATTGGCAGCAAAGATTTAATCCGCCAATAAGTGAAGTCCCCTATATCGACTGCTAATGGAGCCGTGCATTCTCTTTTTTAGAAACCAAGCATATATGTTACTTTTTTGGTACTTTTAATCCTTGAATTAGTTCATCTCAGTATATGCTCATGTGCAGAATTTTGTTTATCCCCTTCTGTGAGATACAGTCCCACATCTACAGAGCTGAGATAAAATAAAATTCCCTAGTTTTGAAGACATGAGAAGGGAATATATAGAAACAAAACATAACCTCCCAAAAACAGCTAAAATATATGCATCTTCTCAACGCAAACTCATGCATTTCGCGTGAAACACTGCACTTCTTACAGAAATTCTATCTAAATAACAAGACTCGATACGAACAAATCTAAAAAGACCCCATAGACGCGAAGGCAATAACCCCATTTGTAGACACACGAACATCAGCGGAACACCTTGCTTAGTCAATTGTATTATATCCATTAACCCTACTTTTCATCTCCAAGAACAAAATAAAAGTTAAAATAAAAACATCAAAGGAAATCCATGATTTGCTTTGCTCGATTCTAAGGAATCTACGCCATGGATGCCATACATCCATCGAGTTCCACTAAACCTCCCATCTGAACACCGCCACACTCCAAATTCTTTGACGATATTAATTCGTCTAATTCAAACATGATATCCGATTTTTGCTCGAATGCTACTCCATCCCCCTCATAAACCATATCATCTTCCATTAGTTTCTCCCACATAACAAAATTCTCAGAGCAACAATCAAAATCATTCGCATGATCCCCACTCGACTCATTAGAACAAAACAATGCCTTAGCATCCGAATCACAACCCAAGTTAGCAATCTCATCTCCAGAAACTAACCTTCTCTTCTTTGAAATCCCGTCATCTCTAATTGCCGCCATTTTTTCGATTCTCTTGGCCAAATTCTGCACAAACACGGGGCTCTTCAAGAATTTCATCAAGAACAAAGCCATGCTCTTTTGCTTTTTCTCACTGATATGAAGACGCTCTTTGATGGCAGCCAAGTAATGTTCGGTATTCTCCTGCTTCTGCCGTAGCTTCATGACTTCGGTTTTTAATGTGTTCTGCTCGGCTTTCAGATTCTCAAACTCCGCCTGCACTTTTTGATGGAAGGGGTCAGGCTTTGATTCCAAGGTTGTTGCAATTTGTTGAGTAGCTGGGGAGTTGGGCTTTGGCGTTCGCCTCGTGATGTGCTTGAGCATGTGCTTCTTACCATGCTGAAAGCCTTCGTTTGCGAATTCCCATATGTCCGAATTAATCTTCTTGAACCTCTGTGAATGATTCGTAACGAAGTAGACAATCAAATTTTATAGTTCAACAATTGAAATACGAGTAACGATCTCTGTATCACATTTACACATGAGAGAAAAAAGCAAAACGCATTAGAAAAGGAATCCCAAATTTAGCCAAAGATAACCACATTCAAAAAGTAACAGAACTTGTTAAGTTTTTTCATCAAAGAAAATCAAATGTTTCTAACAAACACACACAGGAATGGACAAGAACTGCAACTAGGGCTTAAAATTGAACCAAACCAGGGCTGAATCTCCCTCAATCACAGCACGGTCACAATTACACAACAATTCCAACTCAATTCTCCAGAAAATTGACAGAACAACAGCGTACGATCACACCACGAGATTCATAAAAAAAGGGCCAAACAAAACTCACACACAGACACACTCACACACAAGCTGCAACATAAGTAAAAACCAGTAAAAATTAGCATCTTACATAGCTACCAAGACCCAGTGAAAAAGAGCAAAACCAGTAAAACTAGCTAACCCCGAAGCAGAGCAATTAAGTTACTACTAAGCTTACATAGGTGTTGAGCTGCCGGATAAAGCTGGAGAAATTGCGGTGCTTGAAGTGCTTAGGGAGCAGCTCGGAGGAGAATCTGTGAGGGTCCCACACAACGAAGCTAGCTTTCGCACGACCCCACGATATAATCGAGTCCGTGCTCGGGTCATCCACCATCTCGTACGTCTTCCTCAGAAATGGCGGCGGTCCGATCTCCCTCAGCCCCTCAATCGGCTCCGGCAGCCACGCGTCCCCACCGCCGGAACAACCCCGGGGGCCGTCGTCGGCCTCACATAGATCAACGAATGGCTCGTCTTTAACAGTGAGCAGCGCCAGCTCATCTCTATTATCGTTCGCCATCGTCAACCTAGTGCCATTGTTAGCTTCCAATTTCCGCTCATTTTCAGCCATTTTTTTTTTGGTGATGGTATTGGTAGTACAGCACACGCAGATAATATGAGAGGATAATTCACAAAAAAAAAAAAAGCTTGCGTGAGGAGAAAGAAAAACGGTGTGGGGTTTTGAAACAGAGGCAGTGCGACTGCGACATTTGTACTGTGTCAATTGTGAGTGGAGACGGGTGGCGTTAATCTGGACGTGACTGTCATTGTGTAAACGGTGCGATTATTTTAACCTTTTTAAATTGTGTGAGTGTGACTGCTAACAGGTTTATGATAATGCCGATGTTGTTACATTTTTTATTTGCCAATTTATAAATACTTTCCTTTAATAATTGTAGTTATTTATATGTATATCGTTTTTTCGAACGATAGTAATTTTACGACCTAAAATACATAATTATGAAAGTCATTTTTAATTTCATTATAATCTTCACTACTTTATTCTATCATATAATACTTTATGCTATAACCATAAGTTAGAAAAATAATTTTATGCAATCATCTCAACGTAATATTTTTCTTCTATATTGAGTGGTTGTTCATTTGATGCTAAGAAATTAAATTAATTGTTTGGTTTGTGATAGAAATAGAATAATAAATATTTATCAAATTAGTTACGGTTGACTCATATTTTTAATTTAAAGATCGTAAACACGGAGGTTTTAACTGATGTTTACATAAATTGTGGTATTTAAAAATTGACAAATAAAATAGACGGTGTAATGCATTTGACATCACATGTAATATTGGGAAACCTGAGGGCGTACTCTTCATTGCCGAAGAGCTGAGGAGCTGCGGCCGTCCAATTCCAATCAGGTGCCCTTTTTCTTCTCGCAAAATTGTATCCACTCTATCTGATTGTAAGAAAATCTACTCCTTTTTTGTGTCATATTCATATTTGTTAGATTAAGCCCAGTGTCTGTGTATAAGGATTAGGTTTTGTCATTTGATCTAAAGTTGAAATTGAAGGTCCGTAGTTTATTATTAAGATCCATTTGGTTGATTAACGGGCCTCTGTAATATGTATTTTGATCAAATGGAACAACTAGGGATATTTTGTTCTCTAGTTAAGAATTAGAGGTTGGGTTGGCTGTTTTNNGGATTAATATGAATAGTTCTAGCTAATTAGAGGCTTTCTTGGGATGGAGATTAGGAAAACAGGCTCTAACAAATTTTGTTTCGCTCGAAGGTTATAAAACATGGTGCTGGGAATTGAAACATTTTGCGAAATTTAAATGGACCCGCGTGCGTGTTTATTAATTATAACTAGACTAGATCTATATACTACTTAATGTTGTTCAGAAACTGAATTGTACGGCTTCACGAAGTTTGGTTTTTGATCGGGGAGGCAATTGACGATCATCTCTTGGTTACCATTGTTCAACAATTGACTAGTGATGATCGGTGTATCAATGCAGAAGAGAGAAAAAGCTTGGATGGCTGTAGCCAATTTGTCTTTAAATTTATGAGCTTGTCAATGCATAGATGATCAATGACAAGTGTGGTTTGGAAAAAATTCCTTTGCGTAGAAGAAGCTTTATTGTGTTTTATTTAGCCTTGTTCGTTCTGCTGAGCTTCATTGGTAATCGGGTCTTTTTTCTTTCTTCTTCACTACCTTGGGACGGTTAATTTCTTTGCCGAAAATCGCGAATTTGTGTGGGAGATTTTTTTTTTTTTAAGTTTGTAGGAATTGAGAGGTTACTGGTGGAATGATTTTATTTATGTTTGGAGGATAATTAGAATGACCCTTTTTTTTTATCTGTTTTATCTGCAAACCTCAATTTCTAAACTACATCTCTATGAATGTCGTTCATATGTCGTTATATGTCTTTATAGTGAGTTGAAGCCCCAATCTTTCATCCTGACATATTGGTTCTCTGCAATCACTTCAGGTCCGAAGCAAAAAGAAATATATAAATAAAAAGTTCAACGTCACTTATCCGAGTTTCCTACTATGACATGACTGACCAGATGAACTTAGTCCATTAATTCTGAGTAAATATGGCAGATATCTTCAACTACACAACATGCAGACAGCTGTCCCAAATGTTGTTTGCCATAATCTTCTTCCACAGCTCGGAGTATGTTCTGGCAATAACCTTTCATGGGAAAAACAATGTTTCCCTAAGGTCTCTTTTAATCAGCAAGAACTATCTCCTAGCCATGATCGGTTCCTTGGTAGAGTACTTCATAGAAATTTATTTCTTCCCGGAGATTAAAGAACACTGGTTCTTAAGCAACATGGGCCTAGCCATGGTTGTTTTTGGTGAAATTATTCGGAAATTAGCCATAATTACAGCTGGCAGGTCTTTTACTCATCTCATAAGGAGACATCATGAGGCGCATCATGTGTTGGTAACTCATGGGGTTTATAAGTATATGAGGCACCCGAGTTATTGTGGCTTTTTCATATGGTCGGTTGGTACACAGATAATGCTTTGTAACCCGGTGGCTACAGTCACATTTGCATTTGTCGTGTGGCGTTTTTTCCATATGAGGGTACCGTATGAGGAGTTTTTTCTGAGGCAGTTTTTTGGTTCGGATTATGAAGAGTATGCTAGAAGGACAGTGTCTGGGGTCCCGTTTATCGACTGATGTAACGAGTAAAGCTGTAATGTTTGCAATGCCAATACTTCATTCTCATTTTATGATTCTATTTAAGCAAGTTGGAATTATTACAAAACTTACCCTGTGTTTGGAGGCAAGGCAATTACAGAGAAACTATACAAGCTGTCAAAATTGAACAATAGTAATAGAACCTGAAGTTAAAAAGTTTGAACTCCAAATTTTGGGGTTAACATGGTAAAACTTAGTGGATCATGTAATTTGTTAGGAAGTGACGTATCTATTATCTTTAGTTTTTATTCCACACTTCAAGCTTACAGGCAAAGCCTATTGTATTTTCTTGAGGAAAAGGAGTAACAACAGGTTTGAAATCTTGCAAGCCTAGGTCTTTGATGATATCTAGAATATACATTTTTTTTTTTTTTTTATTTGTTGAGAAACACTCCAGATTGGTCCCCATATATCTCCAAACCCAAGAAATATTTTGTTGTGGCCAAATTATTTATTGTGAACAAATTGTGTAAGTATGCCTTGAGGTGTCTGATGTCTGAAATGTCAGTCCCTACAATCAAGACATCATCAATATAGATCAGTACACCCAAAAACTGAGTATCTGTTGTTTAATGAACAAGTAATTATCATGAGTTTGATTGTTTGAAACCATAGTCAAGAAACTTGTCAGAAAATTCTATATTCCAATGCATGGGAGCCTCTTTTCAACTCATAAAGACTCCTCTTAAGCTAACAAACGTGATCTGGCTTTCCCTTATTATATCCTCTGGGTTGTGTCATATATTGTTCTTCATTCCAGCACCCATGTAAGAAGGCATTGTTGAGGTCAATATGATGCATTTTCCATTGTTGTTGTGTGGTCAAAGCTATGAGAAATCTGACTGAAACTAATTGTGCCACTGGTGAGAAACTCTCCATAAATTTTACTCCGTCATTTTGTAAATAACCCTTAGCCACAAGTCTTGCTTTCTACTTATCCACACTACCATCCAGGTTTCTTTTAATCTTATAAACCCATTTTAGAACCTATGGCCTTTTTACCTGGTGGAAATTCAGTCAATGTCCAAGCATCATTGAGTTTCAATGCATTCAACTCTTTAATTATTGGTCGCCTCTATCCATTTATTATTATTAATTGCATGTTCATAGAACATCAATTCACTTTCTGGTTTGCCGACTTCAGTAAAAAAAGATATGACATCCTCCACATGCTCCATACGAAAAGAAGTATGCATGATATAATCAGACATCCAGTTGGGTGTTTTGACTTTTCTACCTCTTCTAGTAACTTTATCCAATGAATCACTAACCTTTGCAGGTGAAGAATCAATACTGACTTCTCTTTTCAACATCTGAAGTGTTTTCTGAAATAATTGGAAGAGGCAGTAAATTGTCTGTTTCTTGCTCATTGTGACAAGGAAAAATATGTTTTCATGAAAAACCACATCTCTTGAGATGAAGACTTCATTAAATTCCAAATCATAGACCCTGAAGCCTTTAATCCCTCCAGCATATCCTAGAAAAACACAAAGAATTTCCCTTTCATCAAAATTCCATGCATAGCACAAACAACCAAATGTTTTGAATCTTTCATAAACTGGTTGAGTTCCATGTAACAACCTGTAAGGAGAGTTCCAACCTAAAGTCTCAGTTGGCAATGAGTTGATGATGTGCACTCTAGTTAACAAAGAAGACTAATAGGCTGCGAATGATAAAGACAAGTCAAAACATCACTTGTTGGGTGCCAGGTGAAATCATGGAGCCGGAGGGAATTACAACTCTCTCATTAACTATAGGAAACTCACCCCAGTAGATCACGATCATGATAGATTTTGTAGCTGTGAAGGCAGGTCCTTTCCAGTTATAATGTCATCCTTGGACGATAGGGGTGGAACAAGATGAAGGTCGTAGTCTCTACATATCACATGCTTATGAAATTCTCGATTAAGAATGGCATTGTAAAGGCTCGTGGAGACTAAAAGGTGGTAAGACAATAAGGAAAAGGAAGAACTCAGAAGCTCTGACCGTACAGAGCTTAGACCCAGAGGACGAGATTAAGAAAATAGGAGAACCGGTGGAAACTTTAATCTCATTTCAACTTTATGAAGGAGACAATGGAAGGTTGTGCAAATAGAATCTTTATTACACGAGGACCTTAAGACGAATCTTCTCCAGTTTCAGAAAAAAAATACTGAAGTCTTTGCTTGGTGTCCATCTGGGACTGACTCCAATGTCATAGTCCATCGACTTAATGGGGACCTTAACATTAAGCGAGTTCAACAGAATCAATATTCAATTTTGAATTTAAAAAAAAAAAAAAGAATTCCATATATTTAACTCGAAAAAGAAAGGAATGCTTCAAAAATATATATCTTTGTCTAGTATGCCCCAATATAGTTGTACTTTGAAAATTAACGCAAAAATTTAAAAGGAAAAAAATATAAATTTCTTTAGTACATAAAAAAAGCTTAAAAACATTTTTAAGATCAGAATGTCTTATTTTTAAAATATATATAGTGAGAATTTATCATGGAATTGTCATGAAATTACATATAGTGAGAATATATAATTACACATCCATGATTATAAATTATATTTACTCCCATTATTATGTAAACATACTATATCCATATGTTGCATAGTTTATCGGATAATTATTTCGCACTTTATTAATTATCTTCGCCTTTCTGTCGCATATTTTTTGGCATAACTATTTTGCACTTTATCAGTTATCTTCGCCTCTCTGTTGCATAACTTTTCGCATAATGTTTTTGCACTTTATCAATTATCTTCACTTGTCTGTTGCATAGCTTTTCGCATCAGTTATTTTCGCCTGATCTTCACTTGTCTGTCACATAACTTTTCGCATAAATTATTTTCGTCTGTCTGTCGCATAGTTTACAGTATAATTATTTCGCACTTTATCGATCATGTTCGCCTATTTGTCGTATAGTTTATCGCATAACTATGTCGCATTTTGTCAATTCTATTCGGTCTGTCGCATACCTTTTCACATCAATTATCTTTGTGTGTCTATCACATATTTTTTCGCATAATTGTTTCGCACTTTACAAATTATGTTCGTCTATTTGTCGCATAGTTTATCGCATCACTATATCGTACTTTATCAATTATCTTCGATCTGTCTGTCGTATAGTTTATCGCATAATTGTTTCACACTTAATCAATTATGTTCGTCTGTTTGTCGCATAGTGTATCGCATGACTATTTTGCACTTTATCAACTAGTGTGTGACCAGTGCGATGCACGAGCTGTATTTATTTGAGGAACATTATATTTTAAGACATATAAACAAATGAAAAAGTTATAATATGTAGGATAACTGTACAATAATATAATGTTGGACAAAACAAAAATTATATATTATTAACTCCTTGTACACAACATTATGAGTTTGATTATTGGGCAACTCTCCATTCTCTTAAACTAATATCTTCAACCCCCTTCTATTATTTCACAGGAGCTTTAAGGTGAAGTACAGAGGTAGTTTTCTCAATGGATTCAATGATGGGATAATTATATTTTATATTTGTGCAGGAAAAGAGACTGTAATTAATCAAATTCTTCTTAAGAATTTTAATTTGAAAAATACTCTTGATAAAAATAAACATTATCTTTATTTCAAACATAATCGCTCTGTTTCGAGAAATAGATATCTTTAAGAATTTAGATTTTAATTTTCAGAATTCAAACCAATTTTGAATTCTATGCAACGTTTCCTCCTGTCCGATTTTGTGGGAAACAAATCATACTAGAATTTTTTAATTTATAAATGTTAAATTCAAAATTGAATCCGGATTTATGGGAAAAAATCATACGAGAATGGACTTTGACTTTTAAATATTGTAAATTCAAACATAACTTTATCGACCCAAAGGGCAATTCAAAATCTGTTGCCATTAGAAAAAAATCAAATTTAATAGATAATAGATTTGATTTTATGGTTACCTAATGATAAGTAATTTTATAATTTAAATTTGAAATTCGAAATGATACATATTGTATGCAATAAGATATTTTCGAATAAAAAATGGTAAGGAAATTTGAATTCTACAAAATCGTGAAACTCAACCCAAAATTACCTAAATAAAATCCCGATATTCCATCAATTTAGGGTACATTTAGAGCTGACTGAATTTTTTAGCAATAAATTAAAAGAAAAAAAAAAGCTGCCGAAAATAGAACGTAATAAATGATGGTTGACTTTTTTTGTTACTATTTTTGGTAAATATGTTGTCTCTTTATATAGGTATAGATATAGATTATCTTCGATGTGTCGCATTGTTTATCGCATAATTGTTTCGCACTTTATCAATTATGTTCGCATGTTTGTCGCATAACTGTTTCGCAGTTTATCAATTATCTTCGTCTGTATGACACATAACTTATTGCATAACTATTTCGCATTTTATTAATTATCTTCGTGTGTCTGCCCCATATATTAGCATATAATTGTTTTCACATTTTATAGAGTGAAAACGTTAACTTTTTATTTGGCGGTGCGTAAAACTTCTTATCTCACCTATTTCCACTCTCCATATATAATGAGAATTTATCATGGAATTGTACAAATTAAACATCGCAGTGCGCAGATTTATCACTAAATATATAGTGAAAACATATAATTAATTACACATCCACGATTATAAATTATAACTACAAACATACTACATCAAATTTATTATGACTACCAAAGTTACACAAAATTTGGTTGAAATCATTTCAATTCAAATAAGATATACAATTTCCCAAATAAAATTCAATAACTTTTCAATATATAATTGACAATCAAATAAGGAAGCACAGGCATAAAAGTATAAATGAAATTCTACTATTTCCAATTTCATCACATTGGATCACTAATTTGTAAAACCAACCAAAATCAACAAGAATCCCATCACATGAGACGAAATCCAAACACGGCACTCTGTCATAAAAGTTTTGCCAATCTTCACTACTAATTATATATTGAATGGAAGATTTGTAATATAAAACCACAATCATATCACATGACTCGAAATCCAAACAAGGGCCTTATTACACAATTCTATTATGAAGATTTTGGAACTTGTCACTATATATATCATCCAACTTTTTCCTTCCTCTCCTCACACTCACCTCTACAATTTACTCTATCTGCAAATTTAGCTTCTCTATTAAGGTTTTGGTTCGAAAAAATGGGCAGCAACGACAAGAACAGCTCGACTAACGTAGCCGGTCAGTCTATCTTATAAAATAATGCAAATTGATTTTTTTCTAGAATTCGTGTTGATTGAATTTTCATGTTCGCTCAACTCAGAAGATAAAATCGACATCATCAATGCTTTGAAGGTCCGTTTTACGTATTTTTTTTCCCTGATTCAATCCGGAATTATCGTTTATTAGTGTTCCATTAATTACTAAAATTTTTTATTTTTATTTTATTTAAACAGGATAAACTTGATGATCTTGCTAGTAAGCGTACAATAGTGCTTGAGAATTTATGTCCAAGTGTTAGGAAGCGTGTCGAGACGTTACAAGAAATACAGGCATGCCTCTGCACTTGACTTTGTCTCTTTTCTGTTTTCAAGCATGATAATTTTTTATTAATCCGATTTTAATTCGAAACTAGGTGCAGTACAGCACTGTAATACCCAAGTATTAAATTCATACGTAAGATTCTATAATAAAATAAAATTAATAAATTTATTTAATTTAACATTTCTTAAAATATTGCATTATTATTTTTTAATATTTAAAATCATATCATTCACTTATAATATTCACCCATCCCATATCATATAACATGCTTGATAGAAATACTTATTTAATTGCTAAATAAATTTATTACTTTCTAATTAGAATTGGTAAATAATTAATTAGAATTTATAATAAAGGTAGATAAATTTTAAATTTATATATAAAATATTAATGTCAAAAATCATAAATAATATTAATATGATATTTTACTTATATAAAATTGATTATAAAGAAAACGAGTTCATTGGAATACAAAGCCCAAAATATTGACACATATGTACACGAAATCAGAAATTGACAATTCGAAAAACTCTGCACTTACATATATTAGACAATAGACAAGAGAAATCATATTAGTTTTTTTTCAATGGTCTATAAGTAAAGATCCATATTGAATTTATAAATAATTTTTTAATTTTATTTATTAAATAATGGAAAAGGGTAATTATTTAATTGAATTTATTTTTTCAGAAATATTTTTTTTATAATACTACTTCAACATATACTTTTATAAGAAAAATCCAATATACATTAAATTAGCTTATGACACAATATTGAGTGACTTCAAACTTGTACAGTCTGAATATGATGAACTGGAGAAAAAGTTTTTTGAGGAGAGAGCAGCACTTGAAGCTAAGTACCAAAAGTTGTACGAACCTCTCTATACCAAGGTGTGTATATAATTATCTTCATACATTTTGACTATTTGACTATTTATACATCGGCTTATGTATATATATATAACTCCATTATTTTTCGTTCTAATATTAAATATTGACAAACGCTGTGCAGAGATATGAAATTGTGAATGGTGTTGGTGAAGTTGAAGAAAATACAACTGAAGCAGAATCTGAAGGTATATTTTGATATTATACATTATATGTAGTGATAATTTCATATGTAATGATGTAATCTAATCCATTTGTTGATACTTTGACGTAATGCAGACAAGGGAGTCCCTGAATTTTGGCTTACTGTTCTTAAAAACAATTTAATACTTGCTGGAGAGGTTATTTTAAATAATTGTTTAGCTAAATTGTCTATTATGTATTATCATTTAATGTTTTGTCCTATCGATTAATTGTTTCTTCTTTCAATTTGTCCAGATTACCGAGCACGATGAGGCAGCCCTCAAATTCTTGAAAGACATTAAGTGGTCTAAAGTTGACAATGGCTTCAAGCTTGAATTTCATTTTGACACCAATAATCCATATTTCAAGAACTCGGTTTTGACAAAAACTTATGACATGAGTGATGAAGCTGATGAAATTATTTTGGAGAAAGCAATTGGGTGTTAATTTGTTTAGTTTCTATAATCTTGTATGGTCTTTGTCACAAATTATGTACATTATAATCAACCAATAATGCTAAGGAGCCAACAGCCAATAGGACAGCTCCATGTGGGGCTGTCCCACATTGGAGCTATGTGGGGCAGCCCCACGTGGAGCTGTCCCATTGGCTGTTGGTTCCGTAACGGAGCCAACAGTTGGCTCTTTAGCATTACTATATAATCAATATATGCTGTGTCATTTTTGTAGTACGGAGATTGAATGGTATCCTGGAAAATGTTTGACTCGGAAGATTTTCAAAAAGAAACCCAAGAAAGGATCTGAAGACATGGAGCCAATTACTAAAACCGAAGGGTGTGAAAGTTTCTTCAATTTTTTTAGTCGGCCCATAGTTGTTGAAGAGGAGGACGAAGATACTGATGAAGATGATGTAAGGATTTGGTAATTTTATTCAAGATTTTTTTTTTTTTTGGTGTCTAATTAGTATATATGTTTTTTATTGTTGTTATTTTGATATAGGATGAAGAACTTCAAAATATCTTGGAGGAAGATTATCACATTGGGTGAGTGAACTTGTTATAAATGTTTAGATGGGATAACTCAATTGGTTTCTCATGAATTTGTTATAGTAAATTTACAACCAATTATGGGTACTAACTAATTTCATAAATAATTAGACATGATATTCAATTAGTGAACTTACTATGACAATTTTTTTTTTAGAGTTTTGAGAGTAAGTACTCATTGAGCTTAGTAGCATGAGTTACTAAGCATTTTTATCATTAATTGTTCCAAATTCTTGTACAGGTTAATCATAAAAGACAAAATTATTCCTCATGCGGTGTCGTGGTTCACAGGAGAGGCTCCTCAGGACGAGTTTGTTGAGATAGATTATGATGATGAACTCGATGAAGAGGATGAAGAAGATGACGAAGATGCTAAAGATGAAGAGGAGATTGATGGAAATAAAGAGAAAGATGAACACAAGACTGAGAAAAAGGTGAATATTGCAAATTCATAGCATCAATGAATTAAGCGTGGAACTATATGAGCTTGTGTGTTTAAAACATTGCTATTTTTAAATGTTTTTTTTTTTTGGTAAGGCAAAATGTGTGATTTCTATTCCAAATATTATTCATCTCCTTAATTTTAGTTGTGTATTCATTTGATGACTTCATTTTTTGTTGATGTGATGTGCAGAAAAGTGGAGAAGTGCTTAGCGGTGAAGGAAATTAAGGCGAGAGGCTTGTGGAGTGCAAATTGCAACAAGTATTTGCTTCATGGTGTGCGTTAAAAATAATTTGAGTTATCTACTATTCAATTTTTATTTTCTTTTTTTGGAGTTGTCATTTAGGTAAGAGTAGCCATGGTTTTCTTGTCCTCTATTTATTGTTTGTGAAGCATACTCAAGTTTGAACTATGTTCTTTTTCAACTGTGATTCTGTTCTCCGATTGTGCGTGTGAAGTTTATGTAATTTCATGATTTTCAAACTTGATTTATTGATCTTTTAGACATCGAAATTTTAATATTTTATTAATTAATGTCTTTATCTATTTTGGGACATAAATCTAAAATAGATAAGATATTTAATTAATAAAGTAAATATTTCTTGCCCACCAAGTCAAATCTTAGAATAAGGAAGGAGATTATATCAAATCTTAGGATAAGGAAAGAGATTATATCAAATGGTCAAATCGATGTCTTCTTCTCCAAGACTATCTCTCCTACACCTAACACACCTCAAACACCCAAGACACCACAAAAGTTTTATATTTTTCATAAAATTTGTTGTTATAGATGTGAATCAAATTTCTAGGTTGTGTTTTTTTGCTTCATTAGTGAAAATTAATTGTGCTTTTACAATACAAGGGAGTTAATTTTCTAAGGATAAAATGACTTTGTGGAATATTGTTGATATCAATGGGAGGATCCTCCAGCTGAATGAGAAAAATATACCTTTCAGCTCTAGTCTCCAAAACATATGAGAATTACGAAACGGATTCTCTCATCAGACACAGGAAGATCCCAAATAATAAAACAATATAAAACGATGCATCACTCCCAATTCGAGTCACCATAAGATGTATGATTGTCAATACAAGTCTCAAAACGGCGTCGAACGCTAAAATATGTAAAGAATTGCAAAACAAGTCACAACACGCTCTTCCGAGGGTATTCCATAAGGCACAATCCCTCATGAATCGATACAAACCCTCAAGCACTCTCGAACTTTAGTGATTAATGAATTTCAAAGAAAATGTCCAACGTTCGCCTACGGATTTCCAAAATAATCAATAGAACGCAAAACCTCCCAACGAGCTTCAAAATCGAACGACAACCACCAAAATTCCTTAAATGTTCAACATGAGTTTAAAAAACTCCAATATACCTCTCTCACACCCAATTCAAATACAAATGACTCGAGTTGGTACAAGCGAATTATCTCGTATAACGATGACCTCGACTTTAAGAGTATGAAAATCGGGCAATGGACCATGACAAACTCACCAATAAAATATAACTAGGGTGAATAACCCATAAATTAGAATTTCTTTCTAACATATGAGAGAAAAAATAAGGTGCAATTGTAATCAAAGGTAAGAGACGTATTTATATTAAAAAGATCTTACACATCTTTAATATATATATGATGTGAGACAAACATTAATCAAAATTTAACACACTTTATATTAAAAAATTATTAGTTTATCTATTATATATTTTTCACTGATAAAATATTTTGGATTGTAAGTGTAGTGTCACCACTAGTTCTCTAAATGAAATTAATAAATTAATTTATGTATGACCAACGGTAAGGTTGATCACTTGATCACCTAGTAAAAAAATTCCCCCCCCAAAAAAAAAATATTCATTAATATTTTTATTGAAAAGAAACAAGGAAAATACTTTAATATGAGTACATCCCATCAAACATTAGACACCAGTTCCGACCACGACGAGACTTTTGATTCAGTGAGGATTTCAAATTTAGCAAAAACAGCAATACTTTAACGATTTTGACCATATTTGAATGCGCAAATCAATTGATGTTTATTGTTATGCTGTTGCTACCAAAATCTGGTCCTTTAATTATCCGGTCAAGAAAGTTCAGTCAAAATAGGCAACACCTGAATTATTCATTTATAACAATTCTAACAAGACCTTAAAAAGTTATACTTCCTCAATATTTAATAATGAATTGATGGTACAATCAGTTTCTTTTCCATTGCAATCCTGTGATCAGGACTAACCGTGAATGATAAAAAGCAGACTACAAAGATAATTCAGGGCATTAAATAATATATTATCTATTTTGCACTTATTTTTTGTCAAATGATAAATATGTAATAACTTAAAAAAGTTTATCTGAAATGTCAAAAGACACTACAAGAACCAGAACAAAGTCTGGATTAGTCCTTTATTTTTAACATTTTTAACAAGTAACATGTGTAATATACGAGTATTGTACAACTTAATTGTATTAATTGATTTTATTAGCAGTTTGTCAAGTGGAAGCTCTTAATTTCAAAAAATAAGAAANCTCATTTCTTTTCCTAATATCAGTTTTAAAATATGAATAAATTATCACTATATATTTTTCTAATCAAATTTTTTCACATTACTCACATATTTATTTTTACTATTTAATTCTGATTTATTCATCTTATCCTCTCTCAATCTTATATTTCTCTATATAACATTTTTTTTCCAATAATACCCTTTACTTCCCCACTTACTTACACTAACAATTTCTTTCATTTCGAATATCTATCAAAATCTGGGATAACAGGTGATAAAACATTAATGAGTGGTTTCCCTCATTTGTCTTAACAAAATAAAAGGAAAAAAATCATCAGGACTGACTAAAAAGGGAGAATTAATCCAAAATCTCAGCCACATATTATGTGAGTAAATTATAACATGGTCAAAGGATCTAGAGCACAATTACAAGTGTTGGAAGATTTGTGCGCAGTCTTACGTGTCAACAACTCTTCTCACTGCTTCCTGGAAACCCGACTCGTCAAATTCATCTCCCTACACATATTATCACATACACGATTAAACCCACAAAATTATTCAACTTCGTACCTACTTTCTTTTTCCAATTCAAATATTCCTCAACGCTAATGACATTTTATAATGAGTAATTAAGAGTATAATTTAATTGACTAAATGATTATGTCACGTGAAAAATTAACTTTCCAAGCGGTTTCCTTTTATGATAATAATTAGTTCCATGGCGTAGTAGTTTAGTGGAAGAAATTAGTATATTGATATTGTGATTTGTGAATTGGACCATTAAATTCACAAGCCTACGTACTAATTAGTCAATTCATATATATTATGTTTCGTACCTTATTACTTTGTACCTACTTTGTACGGCTAATCTTATCAATTCAATTATACATTCCATTCAAAAATTCAGTTTTTGTTTGTTCCCTCCGTAAAATATATACAATAACAACTAAAACATGAAATTCAAGCCAAGATGTTCAATTTTAGCAATGAATTATTAAGTGCTTTGTTGCTTGATGTATTCTAACGTGCATGGTTGTCTTTAATTCATTACTACATAAATTGATACCATCTACATAGAGAAGAAAGGTTTGGAAGCTCCATTAATATATTATCTTTGTTTACAATTTCTTCACATGAGCATGCTTGTTATCAATTATTTCACTTATTTTTAATTCATATTCAAAATATAACTCAATTTTAACTGAATCCTACTATCTTTGATATTATTCATATAATTAAATAATACAAACCAATCATTCTTACACATCACATCAACTTTAATTCACTATTCATCCACTCACATAATTTTAATACATATCATTTCCCATCATTTATCTCCTACTTTTACATCAACTTAATTTTAATTATTTTATTTTGAATATTATTTTAATACATTCTTAAAATCTCACTAACAACTAATCATATCAATTTTTTCAAAATTAACTCTGATTAACCAAAATAACTCAGAATACTAATGATTAACGTTGCAGATACTATATTTTGTTTTCACAATCAAACTAACTCTAATTAGGGAAATCTTTTATAATGAAAGACTTTTTTCATGCATATATGCAATAAAATCCAACATTAAAATATCATTAACATTCCCATGCATTGAGCAAGCAATTCAACTCCAAAAACAAAACAAAACAAAAACATACCTCAATTTTCAATCTCGACATCATTTCATGTACCGCAGTTTGTCCCGACATCCTTGTATTAGATTTCAACGAGTATAGACTCACATTCCTTTGCTTTTTCAAGAACTCGAGCACCGCAATAACTAAATTCGACAAGTCATCGCTTATAATCTCGCCCGATAATCTCACTCTCACTATCACTCTCAAATCCAAGAATCTTGCCTCCGAAGTAGATGGTGATGACACTTGCGTGATTTCCACGTTTACTCTCTCATCAACCGAACAAAATCTGGGGCCCGTTTCATCATCCACATAACCACCACTACCTTTCGACAATCTTTGTACGGATAAAATCTGTGACTCGAGCATTTGATTTCTTCTGCTGAGCTCATCCACTCGAGACTTGAGTGTGTTCAAGTACTCCGTCGTGCTGCTTAACACAGATGCCTTGTCCTTCTGCGCACATATTGAAAATCGTGCACGATTTAAATTCTTTTAACATAACCGATCGTGCGATTACACCCACAAAAAAAAATTACATTAATTAATTGAGAAATACTATAAGTACATAATACTGTACATAGAGGTGCACATAACACTCACATTAAGTGGGTCCTACCAAAAATAAAAAATCAAGTGGTCCCCACTCCATGTAAGTGTTATGTACACCTCTATGTACATTTATATATTATGTACTTATAGCATTTTTCTAATTATAAATACCTTAGTTCCTGAAGGGAGTAAAGACCTGAGGACTTGGAAGCTCTCGTTGAGCTTTTCGCGCCTTCTCCTTTCGGATATCATGTGGTGCATCTGTGCTGTCGTGGGCCGGCCTTGAATGGCCTGAAGCTCGTTCCTCTTTCTCATGTTAAGGTTTCTGAAGAACAAAATGGCTCTTTTAAACATGTTTTGTTTTGCGCTAATATTGTAGCCTCCGGGCCGGGCCGGGTTATCGCTATACCTCGTGAAAGCTGTGCCCGGATTACGATGGATTATTAGTGGTGTGATTAGAGGCTCTTGATTATGATGGATTTTGTTGAGTAATAGAGGGGAGTAATATTCGGAGCTATCGGCCGATAAAGATCTGAGAGATGTCGATGACGAGGCGGAAGAAGGCAAGTGGGTCGGCATTTCACCACCGGCTGACCTGGCAGCTTGTCGTGAAAAGTCGGCCGGGAATAAGTTCTTCATCTCATTTCCCATGTCCACCTAGGAAAAAAGGTCAAGTCAGTTTTAAATTCTTTTTTTTTCTTTTTTTTTTTAATATCTTGTTTTGGTTTAGAGGGACTAATTAATTAGTTAATCATGAATAAATAATGTTGTTGAGATTGTTAACTTTACTTGAGGATCATTAGACATTCCGAGCTCGATCTCTCCTGCGGAGCAACCCATGAAGACGACCGTCTGAAATTAATACAATCAACATTATAAGATTTTTAGTATTTTTTTATAAAAAAAAATGGAAATTCAATGGGATATGTGTTCTGAATTGAAAGTCAAGTTACCTTAATCCCAGCTTCCTGTATTTGTTTAAAAGAAGCAAAAATTGATAATTAATATTAGTACACAAAAATTGGTGAAACTATATATGAAATATTTCTTGAAAAAATGTTGGTGTAGTTAACAAAATGAAAAGGGTAAATTAATTAATACTTGGTAGAATTGAAGCTGGACATCATGAGAAGCCATCCTCTGAAGGTCTGGCAACTTCAGCTCCATATAAGGCAGGTTATTCTTAAAAGCGAAACCTGGTATTCGCCTGAAAAAAAACAAACATAATAAAAAATCATTAATTTAAAAATTTTATTAAGAATGATGATAATGTGTGACAATTTCAATTTTTTTTTTAACTCGATACACACATGTTTTCGGTTTCGACATAGTTAACTGACTCTCTGTATGCATCAAAAAGCCGTCTAGCAAGAGTTGCAGAAGACGAGCTCGGCTGCTGAAGATTGCTTGAATCTCTGTACAATCCATCCATAGCTAGCAAGCAGCTGAAAAACACACAAAATCACAATATAATCTTCTTAATCAATTAAGGTCTCAACTAAGTACTCCATCATATATATTTAAGATAAAGGGGATAGAGTTTTCTCACTTGGATGGGTGAGATAAGTAAGACCAAAGGCAAATGTGAATACAGCCGAAAGATTGCATCATTTGCTGGAGAAAGGCAGCACGATCTTCATCGCCTAGGAGAAATATGGTGTCCATTTATCGAACACTAACTAATTACCTAACTGTTAGTTGCTTGAAATTCTCATATTGTTGTATTATATATGTATCTCATCATGTCACCATGATAACATATTTGTTAAGTTATTGTATGATGATGAGGAGAAAAGATGTATGTAAATTTGAAAAGTATGTGATTAGTAGGTGGGTGAGAGAGAATTGTGATTGTGATGGTATGCATAAATATATATTAATGAGAAAGAGAGAGCCCAAAATGGAATTTAGATGACAAAGTTGGATTTGTTTATCTATTATTATTTATTTTGAATTGAAGGGGAAAAAAAATTGATATATTAAAGTTATGTGAAAGAATGGAAATTTTCAGCAGAGAACGGCAGAGCATGAAAAGTATTGGAGGGCCTGTGGGGGAGATAGAAAGAAAGGACAAGAAAAGTCATATTGGTCAAAGTCCATTTGTTTGAATTGTGTCAATTTCAGTGACGCCAAGTAGAGACAAGTCAAATTAAATTGATGCTTTATATATATATATATATATATATATATATATATATATATATATATATGCTAGAGTCAGTCCCNATATATATATATATATATATATGTATATGCTGACGGCGATCTCAAGTTTTAGTGGGGGCTTCGTGGTAAAGGTGCCACTCCCCTGTTTTAAAATAGGCCACATGATAAATGTACGAGCGATTGTAATTGCACGTACGATTCAATTTAAAAGATATATAAATGTACATTAAATGATAAAAAAACAAATTATTTAAATTATTGAAATTACAAAAAACTTGTTTGTATGGCGTATCATTAATTTTATTTAGGGGTACATTGCTACGAGGGAAAACATGGAAAACGTTCGAGTTTATTAAGTTACATGTGGCTTTTTATTTATTTATAAAATTATTAAATGCTAGGACTAAAAAAGCCCAATACTAAAGTAATGCTCATATCAAAACTTCTCTGATCTCTTGCGATTTTCTCCACATCAAAAAAAAAGAAAAAAAACCTCGCTTCAATTCTTTCGACGCCTCCCCCTTCCGAGCTCTCCGCGACGCCACGGTGCCGGCTGTACCGGTCTATGTTGCTCGTCTCTCAAAGCGTCGCATGTCCCTCTCTAGTGTAGTGTTTCGCCGTTCTCTTCGGCCGACTATGTCCTGGGGAGTTTCAAGCAAGTATCAGGAGGTGGTAGTAGCTGGCTCCAACCTCTCCATGGAGTTGGTTGGGGACAAGGTAAGGTTCTCTTTTTCCCTTTCTTTCGTTCTTGCTTGGAAGTCGGACGGGGTGCTGGTGGCCTTGGTTGTTGGTTGTGTGAGGCTGGGTCGGGATTCGTGCCCTAATCCTTGGTTAGTGTGTGGGAAGATGAAAGCTGGCCTCCAGTTGTTGGTTCACGGTAGTCCACTCGGGTGAAGAATTAGTCGTCTGTTGTGGTTTCATTTAATCGGGTTAGCCACCTTTGGAGTTTCTGGAGCTATATTCAGGCTGATTTTCTATCCGTGTGGGTGACCGTCTCCAGGCGTTGTGTTCGTGGCTTTGCAGTTTGTTATCGGTTGGGGAAGGGTTTATTATACTATCGTGTGTTTATTTTTGTTTTGTGTTGTTGTAGGTGTTGTTGGTGCGCTGTTTGATTCTTCTCTTTAGAAGTTTGTTTCTCTCCTTGTGGAAGTGTATAGTTCGTTGTGTAGTGGGTGAGTTAGTATGACTAATTCTAGGATGCACTTTTGTGTGTAGTCCTCCCGCTAGAGTCAGCTCGATGGCCGTTTGGCTTATTCTGACTGATGTCTAGTTGTATTTATGTATTTTTTTTTTTTAAATCTATCATTTCGAAAGAGAAAAAAAAATATAAGGCTCAACTTTAATCATGAAATTCAAGGGTTTCCAATTCTTGGACCGTGGCCTCCAAGAAGTCGGAATGGAGGCTTGAGCCAATGGCGATGATGTAGGTAAGGTTACGGTGGTGAAGGTGAACAGAGAAGGCAGAGGAAAGGCATATCTTTGGCCTGAGAAAAATGGGATTTTTAAAGTTGTGGTGGACGATTGGAAAGTTGAAAGAGGGGAAATGGTGAAAAATCCAAACCATTTTAATACTTAAGTTATTATTTGAGCCGTTCTATGGGGTTATTAGGGCGTGGTTGTATATAAATATATCTGCTCAAAATATATTTTTTTGTGTTAATCATGATTAATTTTGAAAAAGTTAGATATGATTGGTTGTTAATTAAATTATTGTGTTTAAATTAAAATAGTATTTAAAATAAAATAATTAAAGTTAATTTGATATAAAAATATGAGATAAATAATGTGAAGTGATAATTAGTTAAAATAACATGAATAATGAATTAAAGTTAACATGATGGTAAATACTCACTAAGGTCAGATTATGATAATATTAAGCACAATCCCAAATTTCAATCAAACACACCCTAAAGTATTATTTTTTTTATAACAAAATGTAAATAAAACATTGACATGTGTTATTGCTTCCTCATCTATATTTTATTTAAAAATTGTGATTCGTCTTGTAATTAGTAACTAAACTATGTCAAGTTACTAGGGAAAGCGGCTGTGCACAGCACAGCCAGGCCCACGTTATGTCCATTATGTTTTATTTTAATAAGAAATGTTTATTGTGTTTAATTTTGAATCAATATGGGGAAACAATTTGATGAGATAATTTAAACCATAATACAAATATATTTTTTTTATAAGTACTTTAAGCAATTAAAATTTTGACATTTATATATAAAACAAGCTTCTCTTGCATATCAAGCCATAGTTCTTTATATATTTCTTACTCAAGTAAATAAATAAAAAAAAAAAAAAATCATACTTGGACAAAGGATCACATTTACAACAGTTATTGCAAAAAAGTGTATAAAGAAGCAAAGAAACTTGAACATGCATTTACTACAATGACTAATCACGATTCACGAGGATACGCTTATTTTATGCAAAAGAAGAAACACCTTAATTAAACATAGCCAATTAGTTATGTAGTACATGCATTTCTTGCATTTCACATTACATATATACAACAAAAGAAGCAGCTGATAAAGTGGAGTATTAAAAGTATAACATCATATAGATACATAACAAAAGGAGTAACTGACAAATATATTAGCATTTATTAAGCACTGTGATTGCTTAATAACACTAATATAGCAAAAAGCATTAGCAAAATGATGTTTTAATAACACAAAAGCTACCATGCTGAAGATCTTGGGTAGTTAGTGGTTCAGTCATTCTTTTCTCGTGGTTTTTTGTGTGGTGCAGGTGTTTTTTGTCGGGAGATCTGTTTCCATTACATCATCTGTGTAAGCAAGAGGTCTTTTTGCTGTGGGTTTAGGGTTTTTTGAAGCTGAAGTTTCCTCTACATTTCCAGCAGTTGCTTCCAACACTTTGCTTGTAGTAGGGCTGAAACATTGCTTTTCTTGCATAGTCTGATCAATGAAGTTGTCAAAAGCAATCTGCTGACTCGATGAACCACTTGAGTTAATGTTGGCAATAGACTTCCCATGACCAGAGGTATCAAAAGGATCAACCAAGTGGTTTAATTTTCTCTGTTGAGTTTCTTCTGCTGTGTACAGTTTGATAACGGTGTACCTGTGGTGATTTCCGACTTGGCTACCTGTTTCTTGATTACTTGCTCTGGGAGAGTCAATGCTGTAATGGCGAACAAAACAAATGACTTCTTTTTTCCCTATTGCAGCTGCCACTTCAGCATAAGTACTCCGCCCCTATAAAATTTAGTTCAAGGAGCGAAGGTTAGTTTATCGTAAGTAAGAGAATTATATAAAACACAGGCTATAAGTATAAGGTTTACTTCAAGGAACAAAGGTTAATTTCATTATAACTAAGAGAATAATAATACACAGACCATAAAGATATTTCACCAGAAGAGGGCATTATTAATAAAGAATTCAAATTGACAATTTCATATGTATTTTAAAAATACTGTGGATTTTTTTATTTTTTCTTTTATGTATCTCTTACTTTTGTGAATTTAGGTGAAAAATCCTGATAGCAACTTTTGTACAGTGATTATAATCATTACTTGTGTTTTTGTTACAATGCCTCACCAGTGAATTAAGTAGCAAATAAGGCACTGCATTTATCAACATAACTTGTATGATATTGCAGTCTCAAGCTGTTATAGTGATATGCATCAAATAAGCCATCAATTGAATATGGTTTTTGTATGCTTTCTTGCAAGCCCAAATCAGGGACAAAAAGAGCAACAATTTACAAAGTCATCAATTGAAAATGCTTATCCATGACTTGTATTAAAACATCCTCAAAAACCCACCAAGAAAAAACATAAAAGTAAAAGGTTAGGTAAGACAAACAATTATCCAAATCGCAATAATCGTCGCCAACTCATATCCATGGACACGTGTAGAATGATCAAACAGCTTATTATAAGAAATAAGAGGTAATAGTTATACCTGGAGCTCTGCTTCTTTTAATTGCAAAGGTGTGAAAGGTATCAGATTTTCAGCATCTTTTCCATAGAGATATGCATTCATTTTTGCTGTTTCGTTACAAATGATTATCTTGAGACGACATCTACAAGTATCATGAAAGACAGTTGTTTTCAATATCAGAAAATTTATTATTATAGACTTGTATCACATTAATGTAAAAATTGTACCTTGCTGTCACAGTGGTTTCTTGGTTGCAAGTTGGGCATTTTATGTTCCAATCTAGAGGAGCGTTAATAGACTTTTGACAGTTTCCACATGCACTAAACCACATCGAGCGATGATTGGCTGCTAGTTTTAGAGTTCCTTTTACCCAAGCAGTTTTTTCCTATAGACGAACATTATAATTTGTATAAGCATATCGGATATCTGAAGAACAAAAAATGGAACATTTATTTTCCAAGTTATCTTACATCCTTCAAAATAGCTAGTGCTGTTTCAATGTCTAAAATGTCTTGGTCGGCAGGAGGTGAGAACAAAATTGTTGGATCTTTATAAGTGCCTGCCTTTATGCTGTTTACCACAAAAGAACGATTCTCCGTGTACCTGTTGAATATTTGGCATTAATATTTTGATTTGCACAACAAACGACATATGAAAAAATTATTTGCAAAATTAACTTGATTACCATTGCTTTAGGTCAGTTGTTTGTGGCATTGGTGGATTGATCATGATGCCACTTGTGGGTATTGTAGAAAGCGAGAGACCTAATGTATGCATACATATTATATATTGTGTAACAATAACAATTATTTATTTTAAAAATATTTCATATAGATATAAGGCTAAATAGTATGTGAAAAAAAGTTTGCCGTTATATGTGGTGACTTTGACTCTCATTGCAATGATGACATTGGAGTTTTCTATGTCATTTGCAAGTTGGGTCCCCTCTTCAGTATTGAATTCATTCCATAAAGTGAGCAGCATCAAGCGTTTTCTTTCAAATGTCACAGAGATAAGTCAATGGGCTAGATTTATTAATTGTAGTAATAATAAAAAATAATAACAACAATAACACTAAGAACAAATTTAATGCGACATACTCTTCATTCACAATGATGAAATTCTCTTGTGGTTGAGTCCAAGTTTTTTTTTTATGGAAAAGCATGAACTATTACTCCCATAACATCTGTTTCACATTGAAACATAATAATACTTACTATCATTGTTGTCAACCAATAAGATTTACTGACATTTTTTGGCAATATTAGTAAGAAAAAAAAATTGTACATACTCAGTAGCCTTTCTGCTTCTGCATGTTTAAAAAGGTATTCAAATTTGCTGAGTTCAATGTGACATGGAAGATTTGGTGGGATGGGTTCCTCCAATTCCTCAACCAAGTTATTGCTATATAGAACCCAACTATAAGCATAGTTGCCAACTCTGTACATGGGTTCAGCTTCCTTAACCTTTGCATTTGAAATGTAGTATCTTTTGAAAGGGAGCAATTTCTTGTTCTTGTCAAAATGTTTGATGTGAGTTCCAAATATGGTGACTGAAACTAAAGTTCCCTGAATAAACATTTTAGAAAATACTAATTATTTTTTTTTGTTTTCAAAGTAAGACTATACTATTTGAAAACTTGTATATTACCTCTGAATCAGTTAACAGGTGACGTCTAAGTGTAGTTGAACCTTTTCGATCGAGCATGATATGGCTGCGTTCCACCACCTGAATTAACACCGTCCAGCCTTCAACATGATCATCAACTTGGTTGATTGAAAGATATTTCCTCGACATTTTTACCTGTTGAAATATAGAAATTTATGTAAATTATAACAAAGTAAATTTTTGCATAAAAAGTTGGGGAAAACACATACTTTTTGTTTTAGATGCTTCAAGCACTTCAGTATACACAATATTTTTAGTATGGTTTTCGCTTTGTTTTTCAAAAAATGGTGGCTTGATTAGAATTTTGACTTTAGATGCTGATGTTGCTCGTGATAATGCAACATAAAGTTGACCATGTGAAAAGACAGGTTCTTTTAAATAAATTCCAACATAGTCTAATGTCTGTCCTTGAGCTTTATTTATTGTCATTGCAAAACATAATCGCACAGGAAACTGTGTTCTTTTGTAAGGTACTGGATATTGTTCATCTTTTGGTGGCTCTAGTGGGATTCTGTGTATACAAACTTCTTTTCCAGCAAATTGACCAACTGCAATTTCTGCATGTATAATATTTCGAGTTAAGTTTTTACATATCAATCTCGTACCATTGCATAGCCCTTCAGTAGGGTCTAAATTTCTCAAGAGCATTATTAGTGCGTTAACTTTTAAATAAAGTTTATGTGGAGGAAGTCCATTTGGTGTCAGACTGTTTATTATATCTTCGTATTGCCCTTGATCAGATGGGTTTAAAACTTCATCAAAGCTACAATATTCAACCATGTCACCTGGAAATCTGTGAATAAGTTTCTCATTGATTTCATTAACAAAATTATTTTTAGTTGTTAGAATAGCTCTATTTAGTGACAGAGTATTTGAGTCATTATTTGTAATATCTGAATAATACACCAAGTTTATTAGTTCATCCAAGCTTGTATCATCGTCATGATATTTTAGTAAAAGTGGTGAAGGGATTGAAATTGTGTTATCTTGTATGTTATTTATTTTCGCATCTCCAATATCTAGCAAAAATTTAGTAAACAATGGGTCATATTTAGCTCTCATATTTTCTGTAAGTTGGTGCTTTTCAAGAAGGGCCCAAAGTTCAGATTTTATCAAGCATGCATTGATAGTATCAGTTTTATTTCCTTTACGAATGACAGGTAAAATTTGTCTAAAATCTCCTCCAAAAACTATAACCTTACCTCCAAATATTTCATTCGAGTCCATTAGATCTTTTAATAGTTCATTAAGTGATTGAATACTTGATTTTTTTGCCATTGGAGCCTCATCCCATATAATCAATTTGCTTTCTTTAATTAAAATAGCAAGACTACTTTGTTTGCTAATTTTACATTCTTTACCATTTGAGGTATGTATAGGAATTTTAAATCGTGAATGTGCTGTTCTACCTCCAGGCAACACTGAAGCAGCTACACCTGATGTTGCTGTTGCTAATGCTATATATCCTTTAGATCTAACGTCTGCTAGTAATGCTCTATATAAAAATGATTTTCCAGTACCACCAGGACCATCTATAAAAAAAGCTCCCTTTTTCTTTTGATAGATTCTTTCAGTAATAATGTTAAAAATTTTCTTTTGTTTTTCATTTAGATGATTTATTGCATTTAGATCTTCCTCGCTTACAACTATACTTTTTTCTGCTATTATTTCTCATGTTTGCTTAAGCATATTAAATGCTAACATATGTGAAGGAACTAAATTATATGATGATATATCTTTTCCCATTGGTTCTAGGAATTCACTTATTTGTTGCAATACTTTTTTTCTTATTGCAGTGGAACTCAAGTTTGTTTGTCTTATAAAGTCCTCTGACATAGCATATTCATATTTGTCCCATAATAGTGTTGGGTTAGGTGGACAACAATATACTAAGATAGTAGCAAAAAGTCTTCTAAGTTCATACGGCATACTAAATAGAGAAGCTTCTTGAAGACAGTTATCTTGACTGGTGTCGTCTTTTAGTAAACCTCTCATGAGTGCCGCTTCACGATATGTGTTAGATACTATACCATTGTATGATTTTAAATCAATATAAGATTTTGGTGCTCTTACTATTTTCAAAAGAATTCTTAGATAATAACGTTCTCCTTCAATTGGATGTACTGTGCTCATTCTACCTACAATATCTCTTTGAATTTGTTTTTTCCAACGTCTTTCATCAGTTAACCAAACGAAATAATGTGGAAATTCTACATATGTTAAGTTAAGGGCGGCCACTTCAGGATCAGTTCTGTTCATGTAGAAAATTCAGTTAACATAGTTCGTCTATTTCTTGGATTATTTAGTACATTTTCCAATCTATCTTTTTTGCGGAAACTGACTGTTTGGTAATTTTCCAAATGAACTGGAAGTTGAATGACTGCTGGTTTAATCTCACCCATAGAAAATCTAAATATTCTCCATGCAGCTTCTTGTGGCGATACCCAACGTGCAGAACGATATTGTTGTATTTCATCAATTTCATTAGGAGATTTACCAGTTTCTACATGAAAGCTTATTCTGTCATGTCCTTTACATATATATTTGTATATATATTTTACTGCACGGACAGTTGAACAAATTTCAACGTTTATATGACAATTGAATTTTGCTAATAAATATGGATTATATGGTATCACCCATCGATTGTCAAGTGTGTGTCCTCGAACTTTTATTTTAGAACCATTATCTCTACGTCTATATTTTGGATATGCACCTTCAGTTTGTGTAGTTTCTGCACAGAATTGTTTTGGATATAAATTCTTGCATCTACCTTTTCTTGACATACACACATTATGAGGATTAAGAGCACCACAAGGACCATGTATCATATGTTTTTTTACCATGTTATATAAATGAATATTTAATCTTTTATTTGGAATTTTTGCACTAACAATTTTATCATACTCTTCGGGGCTGTACATTTTATGTTGTGATTTTAAAATGATCAAAAAATGAGCATGAGGTAGACCTCGTTTTTGAAATTCTATTACATAAGTGTAAGCAGCAACTTCTCCAAAAATATGTCTTTTTAAAATATCATTTTTTAGTTCTTCCAATTTTGTATGAAAAACTCTTGTAGTTAAATCAGGTCTATTATGTGCTTCTTCATTAGGAAATAAATGTCTTTATTTCTGGCCAATTTGGATTACATGTCATTGTTAAGAAAATATCTGGTTTTCCATATTGTTACCTTCATTATGTTTGTACTTGTATGGAGGATCACCGAGCAAATATGATCCCTCGCATTTTCGAGCAGCGTACGATCCTTGGGGAAAAGAATGGTATATGTTTGGGGACTTCGCGGCTCGGGAAATAGACAGTTGAGATTTTGGGCTGCAGGGATTCAGCCCGATCGCCTTGCCCCATCCCGATCGACTTCGCGGCGGCGAAGTTTCTGTGCACGGCGGAGATTGCCAAATTTTGGGGCGTTTATGCAAGATTTTATTTGCAATTTTGACAGAAAAAATAAGAAGTTCTAACATGATGAAGGTATAAAGATGAAGAAAGAGGAATTTTTGAGAAACTGTTGAAACCCACTCATTGGCTAACCGTAGAAGAAGAAGAAAAAGAAAGAAATAAAATAATAATAATAATAATATAATAATAATAATTTGGTAGGTCAAAAGACACAATGAACCAAGGGCAAATTAGGCAATTCAATAGTGAAAGTACACATGTCAAAACAAGAGGCTATTAAGAAATAAAAAAATAGTAGAAGGAACCGTGTTCCAACTCCTTTTTATTAGATATAGAGACTTAGATAAGGATGACTACAGTCCGTTAGAATTTTTAACCGTACGAAAAAAATTCCTGACAAAAAAAAAAAAAATGATGATTAGAATACAAATTGGAAAATTTCATATATACAATTTCGTTGTCCAAAATTCAACCGACCTTGAGAAAAAATTAATAAAGCAATTAAAAAACGAGTAGCACATTTCAACCGTGTCCGGCTTAAAGTACAATGCCGGGACGCTGGCAACTTCCGTGCTCCTACTTCTGTGTCTCTCTTCAACAGCATCGTTTTAACTGAAATACAGAGGTCAAGCAAAAACCTTTCAACGGAAACCCTAATTAGGCAAATTTGTATTTCCCTGCGGATAAATCCTAATCTTGAGCCGCTCATCAAGTCATATCTGTTGCAGGTATATTTAATTTGATCTGTCATTTCTCTAGAATCACAGTTTTGCAGATGGCGGCGGATATCGAAGCCGACGGGCTGAAGAAACTAGAGTACCTTTCGTTAGTTTCCAAAGTATGCTCGGAGCTGGAGACGCATCTAGGGTTTGGCGACAAGGTCCTGGCTGAATTCATCACGGAGATGGGTCGGAATTGCGAAAACGTGGACGAATTTGACGCCAAATTGAAGGAAAACGGAGCCGAGATGCCGGATTACTTCGTCCGCACGCTCCTCACGATCATTCACGCGATTCTGCCGCCGAAAGAGAAGTTGAAATCGGAAAATGAGTCGAAAGACGGGGCCAAATCTGCGTTCTCAGCTCTAAAAATCAAGGACGGAAAGGACAGGGTGAAGGAGCTGGAGAAGGAGATCGAAGATGAAGTGAGGAACCAAAGGAGATTGGAGGATGACGAGTATAACAAGTCCAGGGATAGAGACAGACGAGACCGAAGAAGGGATCGTGATAGGGAGAAGGGTGTAGAAAGGGGCAGATATGATGATAGGGAGGAGAGGGGCAGGCATGGGGATAGAGATGGCTATGATAGGGAGAAGGGTGGAGAAAGAGGCAGATATGAAGATAGGGAGGAGAGGGGCAGGCATGGGGATAGAGATGGCTATGGAAACGAGAAGGGAAGGCGAAGAGATGGTGATAGGGACAGGAATAGAGGTGAAAGGGATTGGAGGAACGGACACGAGAGGGAAAACCGGTCGGACGAGCCAGAATTGTACCAAGTTTACAAAGGAAGGGTTTCCCGGGTGATGGACAAGGGATGCTTTGTCCAGCTTCAGGATTTCCGAGGAAAAGAGGGTCTTGTCCACGTGTCCCAGTTGGCGACCCGTAGGATCTCGAATGCAAAGGACGTGGTCAAAAGAGATCAGGAGGTCTACGTGAAGATCATCTCTGCCAATGGGAATAACCTGAGCCTTTCGATGAGGGACGTGGACCAGAATACCGGTAAGGACCTCTTGCCCTTGAGGAAGAGTGACGTGGATGGTGACCGCGCGGTGGCCAACCCCTCTTCTAGAAACAGCAATGGCAAAGGAAGCACAGGGAGCAGGATTGGTCTGTCGGGAATCCGGATCACAGACGAGTACGATACCGGGCCCTCCCGAAGGCCTCTGAAGAAGATGAGTTCACCCGAGCGGTGGGAGGCTAAGCAGTTGATTGCTTCTGGCGTGATGAGCATGAAGGAGCTGCCAATGTTCGACGAGGAGGGCGACGGGGTTCTGTACCGGGAGGAAGGTGCGGAGGAGGAGCTCGAGGTCGAGCTGAATGAGGACGAGCCAGCCTTCCTGCAGGGACAGAGCAGGTACTCCATGGACATGTCCCCCGTGAAGATATTCAAGAACCCAGAAGGTTCCCTGAGCCGTGCGGCCGCACTTCAGTCAGCCTTGATAAAGGAGAGGCGGGAAGTTAGAGAACAACAGCAGAGGACAATGCTAGACTCAATCCCCAAGGATCTGAACAGGCCGTGGGAAGATCCCATGCCCGAAACTGGCGAGAGGCATCTCGCTCAGGAACTGAGAGGAGTCGGGCTGTCCGCTTACGACATGCCTGAGTGGAAGAAAGACGCGTATGGGAAAGCCCTGACCTTTGGGCAGAGGTCAAAGCTTTCGATTCAGGAGCAGAGGCAGAGCCTGCCAATTTACAAGTTGAAGAAGGAGCTGATTCAGGCTTGCAACGATAACCAGGTGCTGGTTGTCATTGGCGAGACCGGGTCAGGAAAGACGACCCAGGTGACTCAGTACCTGGCTGAGGCGGGCTACACGACCAGGGGAAAGATTGGGTGCACACAACCCCGTAGAGTGGCAGCAATGTCTGTGGCGAAGAGGGTGGCTGAGGAATTCGGCTGCCGTCTGGGGGAGGAGGTCGGGTACGCGATCCGATTCGAGGACTGCACGAGCCCGGAGACCGCGATCAAGTACATGACGGATGGTATGCTTCTGAGGGAGATTCTGGTCGACGAGGATTTGTCGCAGTACTCGGTGATAATGCTGGATGAGGCACATGAGAGGACAATCCACACTGATGTCCTTTTTGGGCTGCTGAAGCAGCTTGTGAAGAGGAGGCCCGACCTTCATCTGATTGTGACATCAGCGACTCTGGATGCGGAGAAGTTTTCTGGGTACTTCTTCAACTGCAACATATTTACTATTCCTGGAAGGACTTTCCCTGTGGAGATACTCTACACCAAGCAGCCGGAGAGCGACTACCTAGATGCGTCGCTGATTACTGTTATGCAGATCCACTTGACTGAACCCGAAGGTGATATACTTCTGTTTTTGACTGGTCAGGAGGAGATCGATTATGCGTGTCAGTGTCTGTACGAGAGGATGAAGGGTCTAGGTGGAAATGTGCCGGAGCTGATTATTTTACCTGTGTATAGTGCTCTGCCTAGTGAAATGCAGTCCAGGATTTTCGATCCAGCGCCTCCAGGAAAGAGAAAAGTGGTGGTCGCCACCAATATTGCTGAGGCTTCTTTGACTATAGATGGCATATTCTATGTTATTGATCCGGGTTTTGCAAAACAGAATGTATACAATCCTAAGCTGGGTCTCGACTCGCTCGTGATAACCCCCATATCGCAAGCGTCAGCCAAGCAGAGGGCGGGGAGAGCGGGCCGTACAGGGCCTGGGAAGTGCTACCGACTTTACACAGAAAGTGCATTTCACAATGAGATGTTGCCCACTTCGATTCCAGAGATACAGAGGATTAATCTCGCGATGACTACTCTTAATTTGAAAGCTATGGGAATTAATGATCTTTTGTCTTTTGACTTTATGGATCCTCCTGCAGCCCAGGCCCTCATTTCTGCTATGGAGCAGCTGTACAGTTTGGGGGCTCTAGATGAAGAGGGGCTGCTCACTAAATTGGGTAGGAAAATGGCCGAGTTTCCTTTGGATCCTCCACTGTCCAAAATGCTTCTTGCCAGCGTGGACCTCGGCTGCAGTGATGAGATTTTGACCATCATTGCTATGATCACTACTGGGAATATCTTCTATCGACCGAGGGAAAAACAGGCTCAGGCAGATCAGAAGAGGGCAAAGTTTTTCCAGCCGGAAGGCGACCATTTGACTCTACTTGCTGTGTACGAAGCATGGAAGGCAAAGAATTTTTCGGGCCCATGGTGTTTCGAGAATTTTGTTCAGTCTCGTTCGTTGAGGAGGGCACAGGATGTTAGGAAACAACTTCTCTCCATCATGGACAAGTAAGCAAATATTGTTTTCCTTTCTGATGTTTTGTATATCTTCATTGTTTTGGTGATTTGAAATTATTGTTGGTTGAACACAGTAGTTTTGATTTGATATAATTATCTTATTATCTGTTGCTTTCCGTTGGTTCTATGAATATAATGCTCCTCAAAGTTTAGTACTTTGTACTGTGCTTTAGTGCTTATGTGGACTATTCGACTTCTTTTGATAGGCTTCCCTGGGAAAATATGATTGGTGAACGGTGAAACTTTCTGATATGCTAGGCATTCTTGTTAAATGCAGATCAAGTTATTTTGTATAATTTATCTTCGGAGCCATTCTGAGTCCTACAACTACTAGCTGTTTGCCTTGTTAGTTTTTATGTGCTGAAATCTCAGTCAATGGCTTTCTGTTTATTGAAATGATTTATTTACTTCTCTACATTAGTATACAGTAGAAAAGGTAAATTTTCAGTCGATGTGAACGTCTCGACTTTTGAAATTCTGAATCCATTGGGTTGTAATGTTACTCTATATATCTATAAACATCTTTGACAGTGAAGACATTCCTAACTCGTGTTGTACCAACAGGTACAAACTAGACGTCGTGAGTGCTGGCAAGAACTTTCAGAAGATCCGCAAAGCCATAGCTGCTGGCTTCTTTTACCATGCCGCTAGGAAGGACCCACAAGAAGGCTACAGGACACTTGTCGAAAACCAGGTGGTTTATATTCATCCAAGCAGTGCCTTATTCCAGAGACAGCCGGATTGGGTTATTTACCACGAGCTCGTCATGACAACTAAGGAATATATGCGTGAGGTGACTGTAATAGATCCTAAGTGGCTTGTTGAGCTGGCGCCGAGGTTCTTCAAGGTGTCCGATCCTACGAAAATGAGCAAGCGAAAGAGACAGGAGAGAATTGAGCCGCTCTATGATAGATATCACGAACCGAATTCTTGGCGTTTGAGCAAAAGGCGTGCTTGAAAGTCTTCTCCTCTTGCATGGTATTTGCTGTGTGCTGGTTTTGTTGCTTTAGGACTTCATTTTGCTTTTCACTCCAAGTATGAAATGTTCTGGTTTCGAATATAATTACTGACACTTCACTTTGTGTACTGAACAAGCTGGTTTTGTGTTGCAGCAAGCCTGCTAGTTTGTTTGATAAATTGTGATAACCATTTTATTTAAGATTCCTGCATCTATGCTTTGAATTGAAAATTTGTGACATGGGTGTTGGAAAAAATTTTGAGGGGAAGATCAAGAGCATGTTTGTTTATAGAAATTTTTGGGCTTGTTTGGATTTTTTGGTTCGGTTTGGTTTGGTTAATTTTGAAAAAAATGGTATGGTTAGTTGTTAGTGGTATGGTTAGCTTGTTTAGTGTGTACTAAACAAGTTGAATGGTTCTTTGTATTGCAGCAAGCCTGCTAGTTTGTTTGATGCATTGTGAATGCTGGAAAAATTTTTGCGGGGAAGATCAAATTTGTTCTATTTTAGTTGGAAAACAATTAAAAGCATCTAACCTGTTGTTAAAGTTAATGGTTCAGGACTAGTGATTGAACTAGGTTTGACCGGCATTAATTTATTATATTTCTAATATATATAATGTTTTTGGTATTAAATTATCTATATAAAACATCTTTTATTTTCTATTTTTTATAATTTGAAACATTGAATTCTCATGGCTGATTGACATATAATAATTTACACATGTTCAAAATATTTAAATATGCATTTCATTTATATTAAAATATATTTTAAGAACATTAAAACTAATTTTATAATAAACATAAAAAAAATAATAATAAAACAAGAACCAGTTTGATGGTTGAATTTTGATCGGTTCTTTTGCAACCGGCTTTTTTAAGAGAATCAGATTGGTTAAGGCGTGATTGGATATGGATAAGCAGTTTTAATCGAGTTTTACGGATCAAGTTTTTTTGTTTTCAATCACCATACATAGGGGGTGAATGGATATGGATCATAACCAGTTTTAATCGGTTTTGATCGATCGAGTTATTTTAAAATTCAACTCAACCCAACTCTCCTACTTTTCATAAATAAAATTAAAAAATATCAATCAATCAGTGCAATACATCACATCAACTTTAATTCATTACAATTTTGATTACTTATGACTTTCAATAACTTCCCACATACTTTCACATTACATCAAATTTAATCATTTTATTTTAAATATTGTTTAATTCAGACTCAAAATTATCAACTCAATCAACTTTATTCAAAATAACTCACTTTAACAAACCAAATTGAATCATAACCGGTTGGATTCATATTCGATCACACCTTTAAAATCTAACTCAACCAAACTTTCATACTTCTTATAAATATCATTAAATAATATCAATCAATCATCATCACACATCCCATCTATTTTAATTTATACGCTCACATAATTTTAGTCACCTATTATTTTCAATAACAATTATACTTCTTTTAAATCACATCAAAATTAATCATTATATTTTAAATATTATTGAATTTCAAACTAAAAATTATTCATTTAATCAAAATAATTCACTTAAACCAACCAAAATTTGAATCACAAACCATGTTAAATTCATATATATAGGTACTCAAACTTCAGTTTCCATTATCCGCATATTACTGCCAGATATGCTGATTTCTTTGCATATAATGCCCACGAATTTGTCAATTCAGAAAAGCAATCGATTTTCTAATTCTCAAGGCCTCGCCTGTTCTTTATCACGCAACCGCAGCATCAAGCTCCAAACAATTCGCGCCATATCTCAAATCCCAGGTGAGAAATCTGCTCGGCCCAATTTGATGTTTCGCAGTGCCAATTTTTGTTTAAAATGAACGCCAATGTAAATGAGTTAAACATGGTGTTGTTAAATGATCGATTTTTAGCATCGATCTTCTTTTTTCTGCATCTTAATATGATAATATCAAAACCAATACTTCCTGTCGCAGTACAATTTTTTCTCAGTTGGAGTGAGAGTGAGTGAGTCGTAATAGCTGTTATGTTATTATAAGGGAATGTTCATAACAAAAAAATAAAATCCTTGTCGCAGACTCTAATAAGACACAATTTGCAGTAGACTTGGTTGAAATGGTTAATAATTCGTGTCCAAACCTTTTAGATTGACCTATTTTTTGTACTGCTTTAATACGTGAATCATAAATTGATATTCTAATGCTTTTAAGAAAATGAGAATTTCATTGTTTGTGGTCCTAATGAAGGAATATTATGTGTAAGAAATATTAAGGTGGCCATTCAACCTTTTTTTTTTTTTTTTGCTATTTNCACAATTATTTTTTTATTGATTTAGGTTTTTAAACTGGATACATTATTTTTCTTGACATGCTACAAGAAAGAATTAATGATAGTCAGTATGTTCATTACAATGTTATGGCAGCTATGCAGCAGAAAATAACGATACTGAATAATCGTGGTGAAAAACTTGTTGGTGTATTGCATGAGTCTGGATCAAGTAAAATTGTAGTTCTATGCCATGGTTTCAGATCCTCAAAGGTTGGTGAGATCCTCTTTTTTGGCTACTTGGACAATATTTCTTTTTGCCCATTCATATACTTGTATGATGTGTTGGTTCTCTTTTGTCTCATCAATAAAGCTAATGGAATTCTTGTCAGTTGCTTTTCTTACTCTACAGACTGATGAACTAGACTTATGAGAGATAATGATCATTTCGAATAATTTTTAACTTCTCTATATTGGCTCCACTTTACAAGTTTGTGTTATGGACTCAGTTTTCTGGAAATTGTTTCTATTGTTTTTTCTGTATTTTTCGTATAATTTCTGGACTTAGTTTGAGAAGAATTGAACTGAAGAAATGGGGGAGGAAAGCATAGAACACGTGAAGGAGGAGAAAGAGAATATTAGAGAGAGAAACAAGAGAGAGAGTGAAAGTTGTTAACTCATTCCATAATCCAAATCACTGTTCCTACATACCTCTTATACTCATTCATATGTCACTCACACAACTCACCACTTAATTCACATAATGGGCTATTTAACATATATAGGCCCAAAACTAAACATAATAAAATGAGTCCAACATAAAAGACCCAATACCAAAACATAAATTATCTAGACTATAAAATCGGCCCACTCCATAACCGGGTACATGACAGTTTGTTCTATATAGGTTTTCCTTTTTAATTAAAGGATATATTTTTGTAGAAAATATTATGTTACGAATTTTATTACAAATATTTCATTTCTTTTCTTTTTTCTAATTTTGAGTTTTTGATTATTAATGTAGGTCTGTCACATATATGCCTTCTGTTTCGTATATCAATAAAGTAATGCCTTCACTTTACAGGACATAAAATTAGAGTGAAAAGGTGAGGAAAACTAAGAAAACGAATGAAGAAACATATATGAAGGTAGGTGTTTCTCTTAGAAGCTCTTTATATAAACTGATAAGAAGTTTGAGACTTTCAGTCTGTAATTATTTGAATAATAATTGTGCTTGAAACCAAATTAAGAAGCACAAATTGTCAGGTAGTGATGTTGTCACTTTTGATGGGGCATATCAATCATGTGACATCCTAAATTACCCCTTGAAATTGGTCCTTTTCTCAAATCCTACTATCCTAGATAGAAACAAGGTTTTAACTAAGCCTTAGTACAACAATACGCTATCATGGTGCTATTGTGGTCTGCTAATCTTTAACCTTAAATGAACTTTGATGTCCTAGAATCTTGTTATAGGAGCAAAATATGATATGACATTTTACTTCTGACTAAATAAACTATCCGATGCACCATATAAATTTTGATTTCAATTTGAGATACCAAATTCGTTACGTATCGATTGCAGTTATATCCCTTCTGGTGCAATAATATGTCTGAAGACAAATTGGGACTTCCATTTCATCCAAAAAGTGAAGATTCCTTCGTTTTATCTACAAGTTTTATGAGGTCCGCATGGACAGACTATTTGTCCAATCTATCCTGATAGAACTTTGCTATTTGTTAATAGGGTCAAATATTGGCTGCAACTGGTACTATACATGTTTTTGGATCTACAACCTATAGTATTTTTCTTGGTAAAATGCATGAACATTCGTAATTTGCTACCTCACATAGATTTTATTTCCAAAAATGGACACGTGGTTGCAAATCATGAATGTTCATGAAGTTCACGTTGCAATTACCAAGAAAAATATTATAGGTTGTGAAGTCCAAAAACACGTATAGTACATGTAAAAAACGTTTGCCCCTTGGTGAACTTGGTACCTTCTGTCTCCTCTTAACTCCTTGCCCGCATCATAAAAAAAAAAGTTCAGTTTCAGATAGACTTGAAAGTAATATCTTATCAGTTGTTCAAGTATATAGGCTGTTGTGTTAACTTCCACATGACTTCTAGGCTTTTAAATTTGGATGCAGATCTAGGAATACTTCCAAATTTGTTTCTGCTTGAGATAGGTTTACTATCACTTCGGAGAACAACTCATTCGCACTGTAGTTCATTGTGCGGAAAGAATTGTAAGGGCTATGAACAAAAGAAGTGAACAACTGTATATATTTTCCATCATTGCATCATCATCAATGGACTCTCTTAAACTGTTCATAAGTACCTTCTTACGTGCGTTTAGATGCATTTAGGTAAATGTCAAAACTTCTAGTTCTTATGGCTAGTCTGTTAGCTAATTGTGCTTGGTGTTTCGGTTTCAAATCTTCCTATTGTGCAGGAAAACAACACCCTGGTCAACCTTACTGCTGCTCTAGAAAATGAAGGCATCAGTGTATTTCGCTTTGATTTTTCTGGAAATGGGTAAAGTTAGAATCAGTGTATTTCATTGATGAATGTTTGAATCAAAACTCAGACTACCTTTTTATGGTGACCCTCTTTCTAATTCTTTAGTTGACTGATCTTACTCAAGATTGAATAGTCGTGAATTCACTATAAAACACATTGGGCATTTCAATTTTACCAAATAAAAATTTGTAGTGCTGGTCATGATTGGTTTATGATGTTCTGTAAAATAAATTATTACAACTTTAAATTTATCTTTTTATTGTCCATTGCAAATGGAGCTGGAAGAGTCATTGTTGACAATTCTCCTGGCATAGTGCTAATAATGGACTAGATCAAAATGGCTCAATTAAATTCTAGTGCTTCTTCTATTAGTGAAGTTTCTAGAAAAAAAAAATATATCAAACGGCGCAATGCACCTTGGGTCGCTACGGAAACAACCTCCTTGTATAATTACAAGGGTAAGGTCTGCGTACAACTGACCCCCCAGACCCCAACCTGTTGGGAATATACTGGGTATGTTGTTGTTGTTGTTGGGTAAAGTTAGAACATGGGATATGTACCAAAAACGTGAATTTTTACCATCATTTTACAAAAATGTACTTGCCTTTTTCTAATTATTAGGGGGAATTTTGTATTTTTTCTTTATTTTTCTGTATGCTGTGTTTTTGGCATATTCAGTGAAGATAGAAAATGAAAACTTGTGATAATTGAAACCGAAACAATCTATTTCAAGTTTTTTTAAGCTATTTGTAGGAACATGATCAAAGACCCACATATTACTACATTATTCTTTTTTCATATGAATTATTTACAATGTTGATGCACATCATGTTGTCTGTACCATTTTCTTTTCTTTATTCTGGGTGAACTTTATATAAGCTTTTGATCTCCTTGGATCATGATGTTTATCTGAATCATCTTAGAGCATAAAAGAGAAGTGCTGCAATAATTTATGCTGTTTTATTACTATACACTTTGGTCACTAAATTTGTTGTTCCTTTTCTTTTCAATTTGATTTGAATTCTCAATTTGGAGAATTTTAAAGAGATGGTAATTATGGTGCACAACTAAAGTTCGCAAAATATTCATTTTCCATGTTTAACCAATAGCAATACATATATGCTATAAATTGGAATAAACACAGTATTATGGCAGGAGTAATTAAGCTAGAATGCTAAAGTATTTTTACTTTCATTTTTTGTTTCTATATTGCTCCCATCTTAATTATATTTTTCCTCCATCGTAAATTATTAGATAGCCTTGTATTTATTTTTATTAATTCCGTGTTTCGATGTGCAGGGAAAGTGAGGGCTCTTTTATGTATGGTAACTACTCCAGTGAGGTTGAAGACTTAAGAGCTGTGATTGAATACTTCAAGAAAGTCAACCGTTTGACAGTTGCCGCTATTGGGCACAGTAAAGGTATATCAAACCTGTGTATAATTAATTGGACAAATATTCATCAAGAGATAAAAGTTGCTACTGTAGAGGAACTTGTGGTTTCCGGTCCTTCCACCGTACGAATGGGTATTACTGAACTTGTGGTTTCCGGTCCTTCCACCGTACGAATGGGTATTACTAAATGAAACAATGACAATCATAGCTTTCCACTGAATACTATGCACTTAATTTCTTAAAAATTGAACTGTAACAGAAATTCTGAAGGAAACTAATTGGAATTTTGCTTCCTCTGGCATTCCTT